TAGTGCACTGAGAAAATAACAGACGGGTCGCATGCAGAAGTGGAACAATACACTGTGATTCGTTTATTTGTTCGCTCCTGCAAATCTTTGATTACGAGCCCAGCCCAGTTGCTAGTGAGTTCAACCTTTAAAACTGACAGATATATGATGGACTTTGTACCTTTTGCCTATTTTTTGAGCCTGTTATCTGCTCATCTCTTTCAATCATTCTCCTATCAAAGTCATCTAAATTGTATCTTCTCGGCTAAAACAAATCAGAGATGTCAGCAGTTATTCAGAAGAACCCGAACATATATGCTTAATATTTATATCGACATTAACTGATAATAACACAGATCTCTGAGATGGAGATTTCAAAAGGGTCAACTTAAAAACAAAAATAAACGCAAGACCTATCGGCTATGCGTGCTTACCTTGCCCTCCAAAAACAGCTTATCAATAATCTTTAAACCATAACCAGTAATGGTTATGCACCCTGCCATGATAATAAACGGAGGCAACGCTTCGTACCACATCTCTGGAAAGAAAGAGCAGACCTTTCAAGCGTACTAATATCCCAGCCCTCTTCAAAATGGCGGACGTCTTGAAGGCAAAGGTCAGTGGTTTGTATCGCGGGCATTTGGTAGCTCCTTCCCAGTGTTCCTCGGGTTTGTGGAGGAAAGGGGAAAAAACGAGCAACCATGCAACAATTCACGTATTTAGAAGTTGTTCTAATTCGTGAACCGTCTCGATTGTTGCTTACATTCTCCGTGTTATGTTAGAATCAATTCGTATCAAGAAAGTAGAAGTGGTAAGGAATTTCGCCATCATCGCAATGATGGTGTTGGCGCGATTCATAGCGGCTTCAAGTCGCACTTGCGTTCATTCTGTACCACCAAAGAGGGCTTGCACAGAATATACGGCCAGGGCATTTCTTCACCGCGTGGGAATAACAAAGCCTGCTGTGAGCGTACAGTGTACAAAAAGGAACACATCAACAACTCCTTTGGAACACTGGACTGATATAAGTATTTCAGAGCTAAAGGCCATGCTGTCATCAAATAACATTCAACTATTTGACGTCCGGGAACCTTACGAACTGGTTGAAATGGGAAAGATCGCTTGTGCTACAAACATACCATGTATGTAGGATTTGGCAAGATTTCCGCTCAACTCCATATATTAATTATGCATACACCTAGCCTTTGGGATTTCCGCCATTGTTTTGAAGATTTTTAATTCTTTTTTTGTCAGGTGTTGTTTCAAACGCCTCAAATTTCGCGAGAAAAGGGTGACCACAAATAGAGCTACGCCTCTACTACAAATATTGCATTATGTGTGTGAGATCAGTGAAGATGTCTGAAGGAAACTTAATGTGTAATCCAAGATTAGCCTGGGATCAGGCTCAGCAGGGGAGGAAAAAGGCAAAAATGGGGTTAAATAGGAAAAATATGGGCGAGCAAATTAAAGAGAGTCTAGTGGTGGCCTGGGGAGGGGAAAGGGTGCAGGAGCCTGGAGACATGCCTTTGATGCCACCATTCCATGATACTAGATTCTGGTATGATGCTCTGATTGGTCAAATGTCTTCACGTTGACAGATGCGCAGTGCTGTTGACAGTATCGCACTCATTCAATATCACACTCCTAGTGAGAAAAGTTTTTTTAAAACCCAGATTTTGAGCAACCAATAGTAATTTTTTGTGAGAATTTTCACTTATACCTCAGCTCCAAGAGTCTTTATTTCTCATTGCCAAAGCTGGTGTTACTCCAGTTGCTGATCGGAGCTAAGTAGATCTGTTTGCATGCACTCTTACTTCATCTTGAATTCGAATAATAAGCTCACACTGACATCGGTGATGAGAACTTGACGTGTTGACATTTCAATGACAAGTTAACTGCTGGAGGGTGGATCAACGGCATCAAAGGCATGTCTCCAGGCTCCTCCACCCTTTCCCTTCCCTCAGACTACCTCTTGCAGCTCACTTCGCTCACCAATTATTTTTTTCACCTGCCAGGTTTTTTTCTCCTTTTGCCCCAATGCCGAGCCTGGTCCCGGGCTATTCGAGATGAACAACATAAAATAAGGTCACATCTCACTGGTTATGTGTATGCTTGGGTGGATTGAATTTCTTTCTTAATTCAAGATTTCCCTCAGCAGTCAAAGCTGTGTTTATATATTTTGCAGTTTAATTTCAGCATTAAAAAAGTAATCTTTAATTTGTTTATGTTTTCAGTAAGAAAAGTTCCAGAGGCCTTTACAATGGATCCTGATGAGTTTGAGGAGCAGTACAATGTAAAAATGCCAAAAAAGAATGACATTAATATTGTGTTTCACTGCCTGGCTGGAGTGCGAAGTAGAGCAGCGATGGAAGCAGTACATCAAATTGGTTACACTAAGTAAGAAATCTTAATGACATGTGTTAATCAGTGAAAGCTAATAATTGCTGGTGGTCTATCACCACCTAGAAGACCTCTTATGTTTTATAAGATATTAGCCCCAACCACAGACAAAACTAAAACCCTGGTTAAGTTCGTCTGCGAAACAGCACCAAAATCCTTGTCCTTTCTGGGCCCCCATCTGTGTACCAGGATTTAAGTATGTACCATGATTGGCCGGTTACAAATGCCATTGTCAATTTGCCAGTCAGGTTTGAAGGGAAATTAAAAAAACGCATTCGTGGTAATTTGTTGAATCCACTTGGGGCCCAGAACAAGGATATCAAGCATTGCTTCGTGGACGTTACTAACTGATATTAGATTACATCTGCAAGGCAGGCCAATAAGATATGTGAAAGACGGAAAACATGTCATTATGCTCCATCCTTCATGTAAGGAATAATATTGTTTTAACAGAAAAAATATTGTTGTTAGAGTGGTTTTCACTTGACTGTCGAAAGGGATTGGTTTTGGTTTTGGTTTTACTACTCCCTTTGGTTGGCTAGTGTATTTACTTTGGTTTTGGTTTTACGACAGTCAAGTGAAAACCGCTCTAACAGCATTGTACTTGACACCTAGAATGCTGGAAATTGAATTTCCAGGTCTCAAGATGTCTTGAAGTTTTAGTATGACACTTGGAGAGGTGAAAGGGTAAAAAATTCAGGTAATTTTGATGTTAACATATTATCTCTTAATTCTTCTTTTAGAGCAAGACATTATCCAGGAGGTTTTGAAGAATGGGCAAAACTTCACAACTCAGAGAGATCTAAAGCTTAAAAGGATCTAGGACTTCATTTTACGGTCAAGATTAAGTTATTTTTATCCTAATTGACTCAGTTGTTCACAAATTTGCAGGATTGTATATGTAATAGGCCTTTTTCAGGCTACCCCAAGGCTATGTTTTAAAGCGAGAAAGGTTTTTCTCGTAACCTGGGTTTGAAAGTAAGAGATTCTGGAGCTCAGAATGACTGTCTTATTACCAGGAAATAGTCAGCATTGAAAGCAAACCCTTAGCACTTAGGTATTGGTGTATCATGTTGTGAAACATTCAACCTGGTTCTCTGTTAATCAGAAATTTTAAAAAATATAGACTGAGTTTAGTACTTATTTGAATTTGTTTGTTTTTACTATTTTCTGACGCAATTTGCAAAATTAAATGTGAAAACTACTTTCACATAAAATATTCCTCCAACTGGGTATATAATTTCTACCGATTATTGTTCTAATTACGCAGCGCGGTTAAAGCGTTTCCTGTGAATTCCTCTACGTGTCCAAAAGTATTGTTAATTGTCAACCGGTTAGGTTAACTTACCCATTGCAAAAGCTCATGATATCAAACGTGTTAGTGCTCGAAAGGACAATTTAGTCCTCCCTCTCAAAACGTGTCATAGAAAATTAATAATATTCTTGTGGGTTACAGTTTTTACCGTTTGCGTTTCAAAGCACCAATGTGGGAGGAAAGTTGCCTTTTAGCCGAATTGCTGAAATACAGTTAAAGACATCTTGTACAACTTTGCGTTGGCACAATGCGATAAAGAAAGTTTATCGGAAATACAAGAAACGTTTATCTGTTATAAGTCTTTATCCCAATTCTCAGTGGCGTTTTCCCGTTTCCCTCGTCAATTTACGAGTCAGCTGTAAAGGAAGTAAGCCTTCGACCTTTTGTATGTAGTAAATAATAGTGAACGGAGGCTTTCTTTGACAAAGACAACTCACAGATCGATCAATATGCCTATTCATGATCTCTCAACCAAGTTTCTCATATTGTCTTTCGCTTCTTTCTTCTCCTTTTCACCCCAGAAACGCCTGCTACTCACATTCATATTCTCATGCAGGGACAACGAATGTCTTCCAAAATTCACCCCACTTAATTTTCCTTCGCAGCTTGGAGATTTTACAGTGAGTTACTTCCGCATATTGAAATATCTCAGCCATAAAGAGATTTGACCCGGGATATTTTTTATTTCTGTCCATTTCTGGGAACTCCAGTGTTAGAAAGGGTTGGGGTTTTTTGATCCGTTCTCTGCAGGAAACCTTATAGAGACTTCCACTCGTAAGGTTAGTAAACTAAATCTTGAATGATAAATGCAACTGCAGCGGGGGTTGCGCTTTTTTCTGTTTAATTTTCACGATCACAATATTGCTTTTTCAGAAAAAATAATCTGCAGTATTTTCTTGAGCTTTTTATAACGGAAAATTTGACGAATCAGGCATTATTGTTTTCAAACTTTCAAAGAATGTTTTTGAAATTTCTTTTCCAAAAATAGCAACTTTCGTTCTTTGTCACTTTCTGTTATGTGCTACTGAGCTAAGAACAGTCTGGCAATGTAAAAGACACAATTACTCGAGAGCAGAGGTTTTTGAACTACACCCAACAAAAATTTAAACAACTTGGGGCGTGCATGTAATTTGTACTAAATTAATTTCCTCTAAAAAATAAAGTCAAGGTAAATTGATAAGTATTTCCGTGGGAGATTTGAGGAAGTGATACTTTATAACTGACTGTTGCTCAATTCTGTAGACCACAGGAAGTTGTTAGCCTCAGCATCAGTCATGGACAATCTCCCGAAATGAGAAAAAAGAGCGAAAGAAAGACAACTAGAAAAATAAAGATTACAAAGTTTCGTAACGATCTCAGAACTGATCATTAGATAAAACTATTGCGTCATTTTTATGCGAGTTTTTCTTAAATCAACAGGAAATCTGTATTTGCGAGTGCACTTCACCGGTCCTGAAGCGGTGCAAAACGTGCAGCTACTCACCGGCATTTCTAATTTGTGCGTGATTTCTCACGTTCCAGAATTGCGTTACTTTCGGTCACACTCCGAAGCCTACAATAAAGGTGAACTTTTTACGTTGAAGAAAGAGGTAATTGGGTAGCTTTAAGTATAAATGGGTCTGATTAGGGGAAATAAAAAGTTCAAGGCACAAATGTTTAAAATCGTGCATTTTAACATTTCTTTTCTTGAAACACCTTGACCAAACAACCAATTTAGTTCGTGACGTCACAAGAGCGTCACATCCATGTCATTTCAATCTCGAAATGTCCACAGCTGTACATAAATACGGTCAGCACCGTCCGATCAGTATTCTACTGACTCATTTGGAGAAAAGCACAGGAGAAAGATAAACGACCGAGAAACATTTTAAAATAGTCATGGCCCTTCGAGCGGTTGGAAAATTATTGTCACAAAGCACTGTACCACGTTTGGCTGTTGTCAGAACGCTTTCTGCAAATGCCGGTCCAAGAAAACGAATATGGAATTGTTCTAAAGAAACCGAAGGAGAAGTAAGATTGGACTGTCTCAAAGATATGTTAGTGGATGGTGACATTCAACTGTTTGATGTCCGAGAACCGCACGAACTCGCTTCTTCTGGACGAATACCAAAATCTACCAACATACCTTGTAAGTTTCAAGCGAGATAACTCTTTTTCTGTTTTGTTGAATAGGTTGCTGGTCATTTCGCCCTGGTTTCTTTAGTAGCCGCCTCTTTTCGGGTCATTTAGCGCGATTCAGATGCAATATTCCTCGTTTTATAAGCCCTTTAAACATATATTTTTTTAGACTGACGCGATAGGATCGTCCATGGTAACAAACCCGAAACAAATTAATATACCCCGAAATTACCAAAATTTTCATCTGAAAATATACCAGAAAATGAAAGAAGCTTGGGAAACCATCTACTTGAAAATATAAGTATAAAAGTATCTGATGGATACTGTATTCGTAATTTAAAAAGACCCCCGTTTCGGTCGACTCAGATAAGAGGCTGTTTCGAAGTGTTTATGTATTGAGAATTTTAACCCAAAGTTTGTTTTTTGCAAGGCTGACTGATTTGGTATAATCGATTCCGTTAACGACTGCGCACGTTCTAGTCTCCCTCGCAGCCGTTTTTGTCTCGTTACGTAAGCGTTACGTGACGAGACAAAAAACGGCTGCGAGGCCAAGGTTCGGAAGCACGTGCTTCAGTGACATGTGTAACTCAAAAGCGTGAGCAATTTGACGATTCAGTTTGATATTGAGGCCTCAAAAAACACAAACAATTTTAAATATTATTATTTATTTCCATCGTTCAGGATCTAGACCTCGCTATAGAGATGAAATTTTGCCGTAAAAATTTCAAACACAATAAACCAATTTTTTGTTTTTACTCTCATTTCAGTGAGTGAAATTCACACAGCATTTCTGCTGAGCCCAGAAGAATTCAAAGCAAAGTATGGAATTCCAAAGCCCAAAGTCACAGATGACAATCTTATATTTCATTGTCAATCAGGACGAAGAGCTAAGAAAGCTGTAGAAGAAGTTCAACACCTTGGCTATGAAAGGTATGTTATTTTTGGAATAAATAATTGTTGTTAACAACATCAACTCCAAGGCAAATTTAAATCCTGTTATCAAATGAATATTTAGGTAAAATATTACAGTGCTAATGTTAGATTAATCATTGATCTGCTCCCTATACTGTACTGGCAGATAAGATGTTGTAGAACTGTACATCATAATAAACAGAGGCTTATGCAGCTCTCGATCATTAACCATTTATTTTATTGATTTTTTTTAAAGGGCCAATAATTTTATTGGAGGCTGGTCAGAGTGGGAGTTTTACATCAAGAGGAAACCAAGAAATGCACCTCGTAAAATCGCAACAGAGCATTAAAGATGTTTTGTAGAAAAAGAACTGCCAACAAAACAAAAGGTCAATCAGAGCTTCTTTAAGATAGGAATTGATATCTTCAACAGAACAACCAGAGTAGAACAGATAGAACTGCAAGACAGTCTTGATTTAACAGTAGAAAAATTATGCTACTTTTTTTTACAGGGATATTATAAGAGTGTGGAAAAAATATGAGCTTACATTAAGGGAGCAAGGAAAAAATATGAGCGTGTATTAAACTAGTGATATTGCCTTTTATAACAGAGGTGACACATCACACAAGTGGCAAGTTTCATATACCTCTGCATTTATGGCTCACTCTTCTATCCCTGAGAAAAACAAGGAACTGCTTAACATTATTAATTTAATTAATTAATTAAGTTATTTATTTATTCTATGCTCAATTTACAAACTTTTTGATAAATACAGCCATTTCTGTACAGCTACAAAACAAGCAAAACAAACACATTGTCATTGAAGTGGTTTTACAAGGCCTAAAATGTAAAAACAACTACACTCGACTCTCGGTAACTCGAAACCTCTATAACTCGAACCTCCCGCTAACTCGAAGCAGTTTTCAATTCCCTTCAGATCATTTTCTATATAATTTTACCCTCAATAACTCGAACTCACGATAACTTGAACTTTTTACCATTTCCCTTGAAGGTTCGAATTATCAGGAGTCGAAGGTATAACAACAATAACAGACATTTTATCTACAGATAAATAAATGGGTAGACTTTTTTATTAGTCTGAAAGGATGTGTTTTAATTTCTATAAATATTTTTATCGCTAGTAATGGTAAGCTAGACAAATTTAGCTAGAATAGAAATGATAAATGTGCTATTTTAATTTAGTTGCATGTATTAGCCAGTAATTTACCTAATATAGGTGGTATATAATGGTAATTGAACTGAGTGGAGTGCAATTTGGTCTGAAAAAGATGTTCTACGTATTATAGTTTATTTAAAAAATATTGTCTCCATGTGCATATTTCAAGTTCCATGATTTATTCAAGGTCATATGCCATTTTATGGCAAAAGGATATATGTAATATATAATATAGCTTTTGATACACACTAGTATTTATCATAATAAAAGAACTGGCATTTTATTAAAGGATCATTCACTACTGGTATATCATTTTTGAAGTTATTATTATTGCCTTGACATTTACATGAAGCAGTATATTAGATTACTGAGATCCTAAGTGATGTTTGATGTTATGTCAAATTCTCCCTTTGTTTTGTTATTAAACAAAGGGTAATTTAAGGAGAGAAGTTATCAATTCACTTATGTCCTTTTGTTCCATGCACCCCTTGTACTTTGCTTATGGTTTGTGGCTTTTCAAATTTTGGATTTCCCCAAAATACTTCAGAACAAAGTTCACTAGAGTAATTATTGCAAATCCACTAGCCCCTAGTTATCAGACACTACTTGACTTTCTTTGCACACTACTATACTAAACCAACACCATTTCCTCCAAAAGGTTTGTTTGTAAGTAACACTACTCTTGGCTTCTTAGTGCAGCGAGGCTGGGCTACCTGTGACTTATGATTATGACTGTTATAACAAAAATTGGGCAGCCAAAAGATTCCTAACTCCCAAGCTAGAGCACATTTTTTTTATAAAAAAAACTTGAAATAATGTTGAATATGACATTAAAAATTTACCGGACAGTTCACTTTTAACAGACTACTCATTAGATCAGATAGTAAAATATTGTTTGCCATAAAATATTCATTGCTCTCAAAAGGTTTGGTGGTCAGTGGGGGATAAAATAAACAACCCCTTATGCGCAGGTGTCACAAGTAAACTTCGGCAATATGTGGCAAGATCTTTTCCCTCCAAACCTCTTCCTTTTTTATAAGCAAGGATATTTTAAATGAATGCAACACGACGGCTACTGAGAGACATTAAAATTAAGTAAGTTAAGCTTAATACGTCGGTCAACAAGTCCCAGATTTAACCTTCCATCCGGTCGGATTTTAGCAGCGCTCTTTTTTGACTTCCATTTTCTTTTGCTTTGTCCTTGTCTTTCCGCAGAAAGAAAGATAGCAACCGAAAGCAAAGATTCAAGGAAATCAAAGCACTCTCGTGTTCCTGAAACTGAAATCTGACCCGTCCCTGCCAGACTCAACTTGAAAATAAAATTAATACGGTACAACATGGTTTCAGGTGTAACTCGTCGAATTCGTACTTAAAGTAAAATTGTCTTTTTTAATTTAGCACCAAAGTTAACGATGAATTCAAACCTCAAAAGAGAAGTCTTTTTCCTTTCCGTAATTTTCCGAATCGAACAAAGGCAGCTATTTATAGTTTATCATTATGATTACAAATTGCGTGGAGGATCATGGTATATTTGAGGTCACGTGGTTCCATCACATCGTGGTGGCGCTTGAGCTGCGCCCCGAAGCAGCTCGAGTACGGGCGCCATGATAGCGAAGGGAAGTTTCTGCCATCGTTCTCGTAAACGAAGGAAGTTCCGTCTGATGTAAACCCATAAATCAATGTATAAGAGTTGTCCCACGAACATGGTGATATTTGTTTTTGTTGTCGATACCTCTGCGTCTATGAACCAGAGAACGTCTATTGGGACTACGTTACTTGACGTCGCGAAAAATGCGGTGGAAACCTTTACGAAGGTAAAGTATGTCCTATTATCCCAATGGAGGCTTAGAACAGTTCCTACTCTATATGACTGACCTGTAAAATTTGCCTGCTTTAGCTGCGTCAACGAGATCAAGCGAGTAGAACGGACCGATACATGCTGGTGACGTTGGAGGAGCCGCCTGGAGCAATAAAGGTAGGCCCTATTGTCAGCACCAATAAAGCGCCTATCGACTGGATCGTCGAATAGCTTTGTATCACAGAGGATTTGTGCCAGGGATCGGGAATCGCAAAAATTTAACACTGCTATGTAGGAAAATGGGTATCTAGAGCAGTGCTTTGTTTTTGTTTGAAAGTGACGGAGTTTTATTATTTTTTCCGGTAACTTTTGTTTAGTTTCTTCAATTCACGCGAAAGGCATCATGGGTATTGTTTTGAAGTGATGTGTTTACTAAATATTCTTTGTTGATATTGAATTTGGCTGGAAAAACTGTACCCATATCATTATTAGTCTTGGTAATTATTTTTCACTCATGATTGATTGTCATGCAATTAAACTTATTAAGACTCGTGTCTAGGGAGGGGTGTGAACAGAATGGTTTTCAACAGTTCTTTGCCATCTTATGTAATAAATAATCTTCTTTGCTGGGACTTCTAAGTTAAACGAAACTTTCTGTTTTTATCACTAATGGCATATTTTCTTTGTGACTTCCAGTAAAGATGTGTACTTTTTTGGGAGGGATGGTGGGAGGGGAGGGTAGGGGTGGTGTTGGGATTGTAAAAGCAACGTAGGGTTTGCAAGAAAGATTAGACGTCTTGTAATCACCTGTTCAACATTTCATCGTGATTTTCCCTAGATAAGAACATTTGCTCTTTTTAATCTTTTCCACCCAGATATTAATTTGTAGATCAGTGCAGACCACGCAATATTAAAATTAACCTTGTGATTTACCAGTGCCCCATTCAGGGCGTGAGGGGTAAGGGTAGCGTCATTCTGGTTAGGGTGTACATGCATATTGTTCTGTTGTTGGGGCCTGTTGTTTAGTGTTACCAACTTCTGCATTACAGTACTAGTATAAATACTTTTAAGTTTGAAGAACCTTTTCTGTACATTGGCCATATGTATGCTGTAGCTTTCATGGGACTGGCAAAGATATTGGGACATTTTTACCGACATTTTAGTGTAGTTTCTAGTTTGAAACTGTACGTACCTTATAAAGTGTTTCAGAATTGGCCTTGATCAATCGTGTAATCCTTGCTTTTTGCCAATAATTTCATTGCCTGTTCCAGTCAGTTTGGACCAAGTTCTCAGAAACTGACAGTTTTTGGAAACATATTAAACAGGACAGGCTTTAGAATCAGTGTATAACTAAATGCTTGCAACTCTGAATGATTCTTCAGGCTGGATGGAGAGAAAATCAAGCAACATTTATAAATGAACTAAAGAATTTACAAGCAACTGGTCTGTCAACACTGGGGACTTCTTTGAAGGAAGCATTTGACCTTTTAAATTTGTATCGTCTTCACTCTGGGATAGACAACTATGGGATGGTAAGATTTATAACTTTGAAAGTAGCATTCAATATTGCAGTAACTTTATTAGTAGGGATAAATAAATGCTCAAGTTGAATTACACCAATCTTTCTTTAGGCTATGAAATAATAGTCACGTTAATTTTTCTTTAGGCTATGAAATAATAGTCACGTTAATTTTATGAGGAAATTTTGAAATCCTTTTATGCCAAATATCAAACAAATTTGTTAAGAAATTTTCACATGTAGGTATTTCAAATAATTGAAATACAAAGCAATAATATTTTTCATGTAGTAGTATAATATGAGGAAATTTTGAGATCCTTTGCAAACAAATCTGTTAAGAAAGCTCATACAAGCAATAATATTTAATTGCAAATGTAATACTTTGTCAAAATGAAAATACCTTCTCATTATAATTAGCCCTAAATATGTAACGCTATAATGTGCTAACATATGTTTTTATCCTTAATTTTTAGGGAAGAAACCCTTTCTATGTAGAGCCAGCTATGGTAATTTGCATTACCGATGGGAACAAACTTTCTTCCCAAGGTGGTGTGGAAGATGAGGTATTTAAATCTTACAATAGATGCTTGTCACATTTCTCTTGTAGTTATTTGTATGTACTGAATAAATATAATCATCTAAGTGTATGTCATCCTGAATTGTAAGGGAAGGCACACAGTGTTACAAATCTCCCCTCCTCACCACATCTTTCCTTTTTAGACAATGTCAACATTTGTTTTCCCGAAACAAAATATGTTATTGGGAGGCTAGATTTTCCCCAGCCCCAGGGCTGTCTCTGAAGTCCATGATAGAGGTAATGTGACATTGACTGATGTTTGACAACTTGTGTAGAACTTTATCATCAGAGCTAGTAAAAGTAAGTTTTGTATCATGGGTTTATGGCACACCATCAACTCAAGTTTTTCTTTCCATTTGTGATTAATTCTCAGTGAGGTTTAAAATGCCATAAACAAATTGTGCAAACTGACCTATACGTGTATGTACTTTCTGTAATGGCTAATCATAATTGTATATTATTTTCACACTACAGCTGCACTTGCCCATGCACACTACACTACCAGGACATGAGCTTACTGCAGAACCCTTTCGTTGGGATCAGAGATTGTTTTCAATCATACTGCGCATGCCTGGAACAAGAAGTCATATGCCAGGCAAGATTGGAGTGCAGACTAATGACCCAGCTATTGCTGCCATGTGTGAAGTTACAGGAGGTATTGTCATTCTAAATTAAATTGTAGATTTTTTTGTATGGAGTGAATTTTTCTTAACCTTAAGAAATTGAGGACATCTATTCAAGTTAATGCCCAACTGAAACAAATTTAATTGCTTTGTCATGTCTGTGTATTTTAGGGCGATGTTATAAGGTCACCTCATCAAAGTCCTTGGGACAAGCATTGGAATCCCTCGTACAGAAAGTTCAGTGTGGTGTTGTCATCAACTTTGAGAAGATAGGAGGAGTCAATAATCCCCCTCCCCCACCCCCTGAAGGTAAAGTGGCAAATGTAACAATGAAACAGCGCACTACTTTTATTTGGTAGACACATACCAACAACTGGACAATGTATGACCATCATGATACCAAACAGTTTCCAGGAGAATCAGTTGTGTTGTTGTTTTATTGCTTTTTTTGGAATCAAATTCTTTTGTGTTTCCTATTACATGTTGTCGTAAGGAGGTACGAAACAAGCTGGGCCTAAGATCCAAGCCCTGGTTGGTTTTAGATGTGCTTTGTTTAGATTTGTTCATTAGTAGACCAGAATTACATTGCAAGACAAATATACCTATATTGTTAGAAAAGGCATAGTGAAACAGAAAAGAAAAAAGCTTGGAGAGAATGCCCTGATTAAAACAGGACAATGAAATATGCAATTGATCTGACTGCTGATGATTTCTATTGGCCTTGTAGTGTCTAGAGTCAGTGGTAGTGAAGTACGAGAGACTGACTCACCAACACCTCCAGTGCTTGTGAACAACCATGTAATGAATAATGTGGATTATAACAAAGATGATGTAAAAGACAAGAATCCATTCAATGATGAAAACCATTTAAATGAAGGCTCCAGGTACTGTATTCTTAATATGATGAAATAACGAAATTTTACTATCTGTGTACTTATCACATCACATTCCTAACACTTCAGTGATTTTGTTACCTCTTCATCCTGCATAATTGGCAGTAATTGACACACAAAAATCCCCAAAGACATAAAATAATTCATGGCATGCATCCTACAGGACACAAAGATCCATTGATCGATCTGAACTTGTGTATTTGTAGAATATCCCGTTCATGTAATTTCTATGGCAGTTATTATGCCTGTTGTTTAATGACGCATATTTCAGTATACTGTGATACAGAGTTTTGGAGTCTGTCTTCAGATTAACTGTCTGGTTACATAATGGCCCAAGCATTTTCAATTTCAGATTCGTTCTTTTTAACTGGGACTCACTGGTTCTGGACTGAGACTCATGATTTTTCACAAGATGAGTCCCAGCTGGACTCACCATAGCTATTTGTAACAAAATCATTGCACCTTCTGGCGCATGGGTTTGGACAATACCCATTATAGTTAACCCTTAAGCCCCAACAGTAATCAACATCGATTTACTTGTAACAATATCAATACTTACTTAAGAGTAAAGGTTATGAGAATTCATTTAATGATCACCAAAGGGAGAATGCTTTGATCTTTTATTAAATTCTCTCAACTAATTCTTCAGGGAAAGATATGGAGATCAGTTGGGAGCATTTGTATGTGGATATTAGTGCTTAAAGGGTTGATTCTGAATTATGAAGGTAAACTTGCTGATGTACAAACTGGTCCCAAAACAAAAAGAAAAATGCTTGCCTTCATTCTCATGAAAAAGGAGCAACCCATAATCAGTGCTTTGGGTCAGTTCTTTCAGAACACATGCTCAACTTGATTTATTTGAGGTTTAATCCACTTCATTTCCACTGCTCCCAAATTAAGTATAGTGACTATAGCAAAGTAAGACCACCACAAGAAGATTTCCACTGATATGAACACTTCTGTCAGATACACAGCAAAAAAATTCAAGATGGGTGTTGCAACCAACCTTGTACTCTGTGGAGTGGAATGGTTTGCTTGACCATCTGAGGATTAAGTTTTGGGTGGGTGGTAATTTTTGAAATACTTGGTGATAGATATTATTGTTTTATGTTCAGTTTGTCTTCTGTGTCACCGAACCATTCTCTATCTGATGATAATATTGGAGCTATGGGAATTTCAAGGTCAACAACAAGCTCACCTGTGCCACAAAGCATGCAATCCACAGCATGGATAACCTGCCGAAGGATGATATACATCAAGAGCAACCCTCCATCTGGACACTGGCCTGTGCCGGAGTCATTCTGGCCAGATCCATCAATGCAAGCACTGGTATGTATGTTTTATGAATTGTTTTAGTGTTCCCCTTTCATTAAAGACATCAACAAGCATTTCTATGCATTTCTGGCTAGTGGCATATGGCAGCTGTCTAAATTAAGAGACGGGCGGGTAGTTGGTAGCGGAGATTGTGCTCATGTCAAATTTCACAAAATTACACTTTACACATGAAATTTTCAGTATTTAAGCTGTGTTTTCACACTTCTTGTGAAATTTGACTTTTATTTTCTCAGGCTCCCATGAGAAATAGTCTTTAGTGTCATTACAGATAACTAATTATATCTATAGCCCTTGAAAAATGCCAAAAAGAATGCAACATTGTTTAAATTATTCTGGTACAAGGGTTTTGTCCACTGAAAATTAAAATTACTCAATTTCCTGATGAATTTTGTCTCAATTTGTTTGCCAGCCATCAAGAGAGGCTCACCCTAATGTGATGTTTTCATGCAACAATTCTGAACCCTTGGTTCTTGACAATTTACCATTTGACAAGTATGAACTTGAACCATCACCTCTTACCCAGTACATCTTGGAGAGGAAATCACCATCAACATGTTGGCAGGTAAATTATTTTATTTTTCTTGCTTTTTTTGGAAAAAAGTTCAGAATGTAAATTTTTCTGTGAGTAGCTTTCGGGAGGAGTGAAACAAAAGGCTACTACCCATTTTGTGAAAAGAAAAATTCCAAACTGAAAACTACTATTTAAAGCGACGACCTTTTTATATTTAGCCCATCCTCTTAACTAAACATAGCAGAATAGTTCAAAGTTAGTGTACAGTCATATTGTAAAACAAGCAACGTTGGTGTGTTTTACATTGCACAAAATTTTGGCAAGGAGAAAAATTTAGGACAAGAGTGAAAATGAATCAAGCTTGCCATGTACACAAATTGTTTTTATCACTGCTGTCATGTTTCCCATTTGAACGTGTCTTTCCTTTTTTTTCCTTTCATTTCACTGGAATTGTTTGCCTAACATGCTTAACATGAAATTTTAAGTTAGAAAGATTGGCAGTATTAGGGAACCCAAATTTTCCTTGGACGTACCAGTTCATTTATATCTTGTGTTGTTAAGTCAGTTGTGTTAAACAGCTCAAAAAATGGTGTTTGATTGTATTTTTTTGTTTCTTTTTTTTAATGTACATTTTCAGACATTTATTGTGAGTAGTAGCAAAAAAGTTGGAGAGATAGGATACCCCTTTGGTTACCTGAAAGCAAGCTCCAATCTTCAAACTGTGAATCTCTTTGTTATGCCATACAATTTTCCTGCGCTCTTTCCAGTCATAGGTAAGATAATTTTCTGTTAATTTGTCAGTGTTCGCTGTAACTGTTTCTTTGAAAAGTTATTACCGAGGGTAAAACTAACACAACAATGTTTCTGCCTCTTGAGGGGGACTGAAAATTCAAGTTGTCAATTGAAAGCAAAGTGCTTGCTGTCAGCCACGTTTCATAGTGCTGCAGTAATTGGTAGCAGTATTTCTAAAGTAGGCATGAAAAGTAGCCAAGATCTGAACATTTCTTGTGTTGTCCAGATATGTCTCTACCAAAAGAGCTTGCCCTCATATTTTTGACAACCAGAATCTCCCGGCCATGAGCTTGTACATTAAACACCAGTAGTTTTAGTTTAATGAGTATATTTATGTTTTACGAGCATAATCCAAACTCTGCAGGAAGCTCACAGCTTCTCCTTGCAAATGGTGGTGTTGTTACTCCCTCAGCTAGTGCACTTCATCTGCACCTTTGAGGTTGGTGCATAATTGTGTGACATGTAATGTTCTGGTCAGCATTAGTAAACATGATGTTACATGTAGTTAAACCTTCTGATCAAGTCATGTCTCCTTTTGTCATTGTCAAGAATTTATGAGCTATAATATTTGTCACATCTTTTTCAAAGTTGCTCTCCATCTGTCCTTCCCCAAAGTCGCACACTTTTTAAAATATGTGATTTTTAAAGCAACGTTGCCGAGGGTATAACATGACTAAGGTTATGACAAAGTAAATGTGGTAAATATTGTAGCAATTAACTGTGAAAAAGTCCTGATAATTCTTGAGGCCTTTAAAAGGGTCAAAGGTTTGTTGTCATTCCACTTTTTCATAGCAAGTCGTTTGTTTGGGCAGCTGGGAGTGTCATCTACTGAAGTTCATTTAGAAATACAAGCCATGATAAACAGCACCATAGTAATGTGTAGACAAAAAAGTAGTATGTGTAATAGTATCTGGCAAAGCTTTATCAGATGACTCGAAAGCTAGAGTTTATTTTTTCTTATAGATGAATTAGTGAAAATTCACAAGATGAAACCACCACAGAAGTGGAAAGAGAGATTTGATAATTATCTCTCAACAATGCCTAGCTACTATGCAGGGGTATGTAGCTGTAGCGGTGTTGCAGTCAATAGGGAGCTTAAGTAACAACTACGACGATGAGAACGGCAAAAAACCCAGTAGGTTTAGATTGGCAAAATAACAACTTTGCACTTGCATCACGCTTTTTTGTACTTTTCTTAGATGTCACTGCCTGACTGCGACATGAAAATGCCTAATTTCACGTTTCGTTGAGGATGGGAACACAAAACAATAATTTTCTTTTTCTTTTCCTGAACTTTGATACAATCCTTTAGAATTCAACTCCAAAGAACTTTGCTTAACATTTGACAAATTAAACAAGATGGAATAAGCGCGATAAAGTGTGAGGCAGCACGAATTCACTTTTTAAGTAACATCTCCGTAGCCGTCACCGTCGTCGTTGCTTAAGGTCCCTAATTGTTGATTAATAATGTCCTTTGTGCTACAGTCAACTCTCTCTTAACCCTTTAAGCCCCAATATCCACATATACATTCTCCGAACTGTTCTCCAAACATTTCCTTAGTGAGTTACTTGAGACAATTTGATAAAAGATGAAAGGAGTTTCGCTTTTTTGATGATGATGATGATGATGATAATAATAATAATAATAGTTGTGCACACCTCTGGGACAGAGCTACATAGTGCTAGTAAAAGCCACATGTAGCTTTCCTTAGAGAGAGTTCATTGAACTGCATTACTTTTTTGTTTGTTCTGCTAATGATGCTCTCTGTTCTGATAAATATGTCAGGAAAAATTTTTATTTGTGCAGTACAAGCTCTTTAAGAGGCTTATGGCACACAATAATATTGCTGCTGATTTCATCATTTTTAAGAACGTTTTTATTTTACTTTGTATTAACATTTTATTTATTTCTTTTTGTTGGTTTTTGTTTCTTGCAATTAGCCCTTGCGCAATGCATTTCGTCGTATGGGCATTCCACCATCTTTTGTGCCAGACCATTTGGATTCATTCTTGAGTTACACCGTGGTCAACTATTTAAAGAAAGTCAAGCAACAGGTAAGAATAAGGGAGATGATGGTAGACATATAACAGTTATGTTTGTCTCTGCATTTCTGAACTGATTAACCTGTGGTTTTGTTTTTGGCCATGCCTGAAAACTGGTTTGCATACTCAATTCCCTTTTTTTTCTCCCTTTTTTGCAATTATTTGAGTAGAATACCTGTAAATTATCTCACAAGAGAAGCTAAGTCCACTTCCACTACAAACAAAGCATTGATTTACATCTTTAGGTAAATTGTTAAACAACCCATACAGATGATTCCATGTTAAACTGCATACTTAAGAATCCAGGGTGTTTTATAACACATGTTGCAGCCAATTGATTTAGGGCATGGAAAACAGTGCCATGTAGTGGATAATATATAGACTTGTAGCATGTATTATTTGCTATTTATTCTAAACATTAATTTTTTCTAGAGTAAAATAGAAACAGAGAGGCTTATTTCTTTAGTGGGCAAAAATCCTGCAAGAGATGTTGTACCACGTCCACTTCCAAGGTGAGCATAACTATTGTTTCATCACAAGTATTTTAGTTTACAACTTGTCCATTTCCATGTTATAATTAGAGACAAATGCATCAGTACATATTAATGAAGGCTCAAAATTTGTGGTTTTTTCACTTGATTATTTTGTTTTATGTTTATCATTTAAGTTGAGAGAGGTGTAGTTCATTTGGAAGTAATCCGTTACCCAGACTGAAATAACTTGTAGTCTAGGAGACTGCATATTAAACATTCACTGATCAATACCTGTGTGTTAGTTTTCATAGATGAGATACTATGCCCCTTTTGAGGCCTAATTTTAAGCATTGTGTTACAGAAGTAGTAGAATAATTCAAGTTCTTTGTTGAGCGTTTGTGCAGCTGTCTGTGGAGCAGTTGCTTTCATGCCTCTACCCCCCCCCTCTCATCCCTTATTTTTCTTACTTCCAGTGTTTCTTCAGTGTGATGGGTGCCTGGAATGGGGGCTCATAGCTGGGTTGCAGGGATTTGCCAGCCATGGGGGCAGTATTCTATCTAGGGGCTGGCTGGCCTGGGTATCCCAGGCACCCACCTTCTACTTGGGCGATGCAGTTGGTTAACTCCATTTGTCCCGTTTTGTCAACTTATTTTAGTGTAAGAGCACCACAGCCAGCAAAAGCCAAGAAAAAGGACTTCCATGCTCTTCTACATAATAGCAATATTTCATCTAGCACTGATGATCACAGGATACCCAGGTAATAGAATTTACTGGCCGTGTAACCAAAATGTGATTCACTGGATTTATGGTCTCAAAAGAATGTCAATGTGTTTCATTGTTGATACTAGTAATTGACTAAATTACGATGAATGGAAAGAGGCTTGATCAGTGCTTTGTCCAAATTAGATTTATGGTCACCTGTAGGTCTGTTGTAGTAGTCCTCAATTGTTTTGCCGTTAGTAATCACTTTGCAGAAGGAATTATAGAAGTCAATTTTTTGCAAAATAATCACTTTGCAGAAACAATCATGTAGTTGACAGGAGGAGCCGCTGTGTGGGTGAACTAAATATTTAAGAGAGCGCTTTTGAGAAAAGTGTCAAGGGTCCAGATATCAAATTTAACTATAAGTGGGTTCCTTTGGGATGATCAGAATCAGTGATCGAGATCACTCACATCATGGAACAACAAATGAACTTACGAATCATTTCCAGGGTGGATTTGTTGGTTCCTTTGATGTGCTGTGATCTGAGTGATCTCAAATCACTGATCCCGATCCACATCATCCACATGGAATGCACCTTATGTAGTAATAGACCATCCCATTGTTTTTTCCCAACTTTTGGCATGGACAAGTCAGGGAAAATCTGTCAACTCTACTGAAAAGCGCTCCTTTGAATTTGTAAGATTGCCAAGTTTGAAAGTGAAATTTTTGCAGCTTTGGGGAGCTATATCGTCGCTCACGTAAGACGTATCACTTTCAAACTTGGAAATTTTACTCATTTTAAGGCGCTCCATAACTGATCCATGTTAAAAGTTGAAAAAACTGTGGAAGAATCTATTTTACCTTTGGAGCTGTAGCGGAGCTCACCAAATAATATATTATTTTCCTTGCTTATGAGAACAGAAATTGAGTATCAGATAAGTGCCCACTACCTCTCCTAAATAATGATTTTATTATTATCATTATTATTATTATAGTGAGGCAGACATCAATATTCCAAGTGTCGGATTTCATAATGGAAAACAGGTGGGTGTGTTAAGCAGATAATTTAGTTAAAAAAGTTTCTTTTGATATCTGCTTTACATGTGCATTAATTATTTCTTCTTTTGTGTTGTAAACGGGTTTTTTATTACAACCCCTTTATATAACTACCATTATGATTTGAGCACATGACAGTAAGATCTATTTCATAAAGGGCTGTCCAGATTATTTTTACGATGCTTTGTATCAGTCTGTAAAGGGCATCACATTTCAGTGACAATGATCTCCACCGATGCAGCCATCACCATTTACCTTTTTTACCTCTTTTTTATTAATTATTATATGTTACATAATGACACATGTACTGTATTGCTTAGTAGTTTTTCAATAATATTGTTTTATTCAAATTTTTCTTCCCTAGAATGTCAGAACACGAAGCTACAAAAATCCTTTCGACATTTCGAGAGAGGAGCTTTTAGATCAAGTTTCTAGGATGAGAATCAACTTCTTCCATACAACAGCAACAACAACTAGACTTCAAGACGAAGGTAACCTTTTTTTCTTTCTACCCCTCACCTAAATGATGACACATACCCACTATTCAAATCGTGTATTTCTCTGTTACTTTGAGACTTGCTGTTGTGTAATGATGCATCAAAATAGTAATAACATTTGCCCTGATTGTAAGCAAACTGATAGCAGAACATTAAATACAAGTTTGACCAGTCCAGATGGTTGGCAACAGTGCAAATTTAATATTGCAGCTATCATTATTTTTATTGTTGTTGATTCTCACCCTATCATTACAGTCTCAGTAGTAGGGCAATAGTATTCAGCTACATCACAATGCTTTTGCGATAGTCAAAACAATCTCAGTAGCTAGTTAGCCCTAATAATAACATAATTGCTGTTATTTCACCTTTATTAGATGCACGACACAGCGTGGCAATTGCAGATATGGGTAACTACCAAGAAGTGCTAAGGCAAATGAGCCCTCTGCGAGAAGTTGATCCTGGCCAAAATAGAGTTCACATGTTTGGGAACCCCTTTAAACTTGCCAAGGATCAGGTAATTAAGGGGATTAACAGTCTGAACAAGTCAGGGAAAATCAAAGGTCTGGGGAAGAATGTGTTAGGGAAAGTCTTATATAATTTTTTGTGTAATGATATTACCTGTACTAATCCACATCAACCCACTCACTCCTAATAGAAGCTAAAGCAAAGATTTCTTTTTACAAAAATGCATTTTTATTTCTGTAAAATCATAAGAAATAAGTAGCACTATGCAAAAGTTGTTTTAAAGAGGTTACTTGTGATAAGTGGGGCTTGAGCATATCATCCACAGATTTTAAAATATCGAGGAGGGACAAATTACCCCACCCTAACTTGTTTCAGTAATAACAGGATTGTAGATTTACTAACACATTTGCATTTACCACACATGAAACCAAAAAGGCCTTGACTTGGATATGGTATTGTCAATTCATCAAAACAGTTAAAATACTGAATTAAAATTAATACTCTGCAGTACGTTGTTTCTAGGAAAAGAAGCAGCTTTTCAAACTAGTATGAAAACTTAAGAATGAATGGCAAGGACATAATAATTTATTGTGATCACTTTTTTGTTTAGCAACAAAATGATTTCTTTGTCTTTTTCATAACAGCGAGTCATGGTCGATGAGGCTGATGTAAATGAGGCAATGGCTGGCCCACCCTCACGTAAAAGACCCCCAGGATCTCCTGGATCTCCCAGGGACAGGAGGAAGCAGCAAGAGACACCCCCTGTACGGTGGCCCAACAAAGCAAACCAAAATGGTGGACTAAGTCCACCACATGGACCATCAAACAGCAAAGTATCACCAGATAAAAACTTGTTATCTCCTGATGCTAAAACAAACAATTTGTTTCCAGGCCATGGATTAAAACGAAAACATACTGAAGGAAACGAAGGACAAAATAAGTTGCATAAAGCTTCAAAGGGTTTGATTAAACCACAGCTTGCAAAACTTCAGCAACTACACAGCAGTAAAGGAAAAATAAATCGCAAGCAGCAGCCAACAGTAGGGAAGAGTGATGCAGTTAGTTCTTCCAAGAATGATTTTGTCTCATCAATTCTGAAGGAAGCAGTCACCTCTCAAAGTAGGACGTTTTCTGGCCAAGGAGGGCCTCCATTAAATTCTCATGACAATACACTTAGTAAAAATAGACTGGCAAACTCTGAGCTACCTGAGCCACTTGTAGATGGAGATGTTAAAGGAAGGGGTTCAAAAGGTCCTTCACCAAGATTGCTGAAAAGACAACTTGCAAGAGAAGCTCATGAAGAAAACAGGCTGATAAAAAATACAGTATTCAGGGAAATCAGACAACCACATAAAAGTAATTGCAACTTTGATTTCATTGTGTAGACAAGTTGAAGTCTCATCTTGGTTGCTCATAAATGGGAATCAATCTTTTGATTGATTGATAGATAGCAGTATCCAGTTTAGTTATATACTTGATTTTTTCTTCTCTTTTTTTAAATCTTCATTCATCTGAAGAAAAAAAACCTAAGTTCTGTAACTTGCAGTACAAGTGAAAAATAAGAGGCTAGTAAAAAAAAAAACAGCATGGAAGAACACAATCATACCATACAGTATATTATAGGGCACCAAATTGACCAATCACAGTGGTAGTCTTTACACTAGAGCCTATTATACTAAGAAAAATATTTCAATACAAGTAAATTTTAATTACTTCAAGTAAAATAAAGCTTCACACACAACCGATTCTTTTTTACTTCAGGTTATTTTCCCACGCAACAAAATTAAGATTGATTGACATGTCTCGCCTTTCTCGAAGCTCAAGAAACTGCAAGTCAGCTAAGTCGGTCATAAGGATGGTTTTCACTTGAAACTTTCTTGAATCGTTTCAACTTTCTGACTTGAATGAGATGCAAAGCAAAGTTACTTGAGATTTTACTTAGGCCTTCACACACGAATTTTGGTTAAGTAAAACTTAGCGGCTCTTAAGTCTTACTTAACAGCCTAGTGTAAAGACAACCATTTTGTGTTCAAAGAAAGATTATGATAAAAAAAACATTATTTCACTGTCTTATAATAGTTATATGTCAGTACAACATACCGACGTCCCCCATTCCCACTTGGGTAAATGGTTTGAATGACATGCCAATATCCTAAATGCATTTTTTATATATGATTTTAATGAAAGAATTTCTTCACTCCAGTCATTGATGTAGTCACTCTGTACAGCAAATCTTAAGTGAAGAGTCACTGTAAATTGCCTTGATTAAGTGGTACGATTACAAACTTTATGTAGGAAACAAACCTCTGGTTCTTTTTAGGGTCAATTTGGCAACAGGAGAAGGGTTGAGTTATCAAATTGCTTCTAGTTCTGCCAGTCATCAAACGTTAATGAAAAGCCTGTTATTATCATGTTTGGTTTTTATTTTTTCTCATTCTTTCTGGTCAAAATTATGTCTCCCCTGGATATCTGACACTTGTGTTTTTGTGTTGTAGGTGATGAAGTTATCTTGAATCAAGTAGCCAACTTGAAAGGCTCACTCGAAATTCAGTGCTCGGTAATTCATGAAATCATAGAGGAGGCAGAACTGTTCAAGAAGAAATTGTTGGTTGAAAACCTCAATTTACACCTTGCAAGGCTACAGCAAAGACTCTCTCCAGACTCTATAGAAGATAATTACGTCACAAAGAAGAAGAGATAGCATTTGCCAATTCTGCAGTATTGCTCGCTTAACTAGAGGCCTTGTCTGTTTCTGTTTTGATACATATGTAAAATAGCAAAATGCAATATTTTTCATAGTCCTCTGAGAATATTGTACAGTTTCTTCTCACATTGTACCTACCACTGAACGTACTAAATTATTTGGACTGTAAAGTATTGGTATTACAGTTTGCCATTTGTCTAGTGTATTTAGTATATAAAATATTTTCAAACCTTCCATACATGAATTCAGTGTACAATTTTGTAACTGTATCATTGGTAGTTACAGAAGAAAATCCATTGATTATAAAATATGTTGTTGTTCCCCAGAGTTGAGCTTTTTTATGAGGGTTACATTTTGCAAGGGAAGCAAGATGGCCATAGTTCCAGAAAAAATTTCAAACCCCCCTCCCCCGGTACTCATGGGATTTTCCTTACAAGCCTCCCCTTTCTCATGCTTTCTGGATTTTCAAAATGTTACCCCACACTCTCTTTAGAAATTCCCAATTTTTCACTTCTTGTTAACTGTAGAACCCTGCATATTATTTAGTCAAATGAGAAAATTAAGGCACAAAGCACAAAGAAGAAGAGACTCAATGTAAGAGGAGGCCATTCTTAGCTATTCAACATTTTCACATTGCCCATATAACACCTTGTCGCCCCCCCCCCCCCCCATTAAATTGCACGAACATTGTTGCCAAATGAATTTCTCCTGGGTATTACAGTCATCCCAGGAAAAATAGAAGACAATGCTTTTGTAAAATTTTTGGGTAAACAAATTGCCTCACTGGCAATGTCAATGGTCACTACAACCACTCCAAGGCATGATCACCTTTGAACAGTAGCTAAGGATCATTGGCAGCGCCGTACTAGTAACCAATTTAAAATTTTTGACTTTCCCGATCATTTTTATTTTACATAACCGATCATAGAGCCTCACAGAAAAGATTCCGTGTCTGAAAACGCAGAAAACGCAACTCCCGCCTGCCTCAGTCGGCCGTTTGGTCTGGCTACGGCACTGATTGGACTTAACCAATTTAACTTTGCTTCCATTTTATTGACTATAGGTGTGTCTCCAGACATAGTTGATCGATAAAAATCGTTATCGGAAATCAATATTATTAATATTGATTCAATTTGCGGATTAATATAAATTGATATCAGAAATCAATAGAAATGGAAGTCACAGAAAAAATAATTCTTTTATTATTATCGATTAACAAAATCGATAACAGTCAATAGGAATTGACAGTAATCGATAACAAGGAATAATCTTGAGGTGAGTATTCTGAACATGACGATGCTATTTGGCAAGAAACACCTATCACACCAGCTTTAGCTTATCACCAAGCATTTAATATTTGATGACCTCAGTAACTACTCAAGGCACAGTCCTCATCAGATTCCGTTTTTTTGTATATTTCGTTGCCTGGTTTGTTTTCAGAATAAAGCAATAATATTGATAGTAGTCTATAATATGAATTATTGATATTGGAAATCGATATTCATCGATGATTGATATCGATTATCGGTTTATCAATTAACTATGTCTGGTGTATCTAGAGACTGGGTTGGTCCAGTTTGATTCAACCAGACCACAACAAATAGCTTTCAGAGCAGGCGTCAGAGCAGGTGTTGTTTAACGGAAACTGAGACCTACATTGATCGTGGCCACCATCTTGAAAAGCCAAGGAAAAGTCTAAGGGAGGATGGGCAGGGATTTCCTGTATGTTAAACCCGTCAACCTCTCCCTTAAAATCAGTTTTTGACTTGTCCCAACCCTCTGTTAGTATTTTAAACATCCAAGATGGCAGGATAACATTATTACAGAAAACAAATCATGAATCTCGCTTCAAAATACACCTGCTTTGCAGGCTACACACTTGTGTGAAAAGGATGAGAAACATCTTAAGAAAAAAATGCCAAAAAAGTACTTCCAAACTGAAAGTCAATTACATCATTAAAGTCTTGCTTACCCCTCCCACATGAGGATTAGCAAAGGCAGTCCCCCTCACGGCACACAGAGTAACAGTCCAGTTCCAAATTATTTTAAAACAAAATCCTAGTTTCAAAGTGAGCAGGATTGGGTACTAGTCACTATTATGGGAAAAAACACGAGACCCACATAGAAAGAGCACATGAAGGTTAGGAAAAAAATAATGTCACTGGTGTCAATAGGGCCAATATTGAACAAGATACAGCTATATAAAAAATTGAAAATGTATAAGAGATATACAGGTTTCTGGACTCACTCTCCGGATGATATTTATCAAATTGTGGAGTTTTATAATGGCTGAATCTCATTCAATATAAGCCCGATCAAAACCAATGGTCATTTTCCCCTGTTACTTAGCCCCCTATTCACGAGTCATTTAGAGCACTTCAAATGTAATATTTCATGATCTATAAGCCAGAAAGCAAAACAAGCACGCTTCAAATGTAATATTCCTTGTCCTTTAAGCCATAAACCAAAACAAGCATGCTTCAAATATAATATTCCTCGTTCTAGAAAATGGGGCTAAGTAACCGGTTTGAAATGACTGGTAACCTTCTAAGTGGGTCTTGTGTTTATCCCATAAATAACCAACTCGACTCAGCCCCCCTAGGCTTAAAATTAGGCAATGTTTGGCTCTAAAATTGAGGAGAAAAGGACAAAAGAAATCACTTCATATGAGCTTCCAAATAATGTGTCCCAGAATAGAGGAATTTCAATATATTAACATTCTTACTTGGCACTGAGGCTTAGGGGAAAAATTATAAGGAATTTTAATATATCAAAATTGATCTGTTAGGCAGTCTTAGATTGGAAGGTTCAATTGCCATTAAATCATTAAGGTTATAGTTGTTTATTTTTGTTCAGTTTTTGTTAACATTAGAATTATTCTTGCCAACATTGAATATGTTTGTGTAAATCAAACACATGTGATATTGATGCTGCTGATGGCTCATTAACAGGGTCCCCCTGATAGAACAAGTCATAATCAAGATGTGCCATTTGTGTCTCACAATTCTCAGAGAAAAAAGCCATAATGTCCGGTTCTTGTGTTAGAAGTTTGGTACTCTTTGAACTACTTCTAGCCTTTGGATAAGCACACTCGGCAAGCACATCTTTAGCCTCGACATCAAGAGGAATCAAGTCAGCATAGATGTGGCTGCCTTTCTTCACATTGACAGCCTGAGCAACTTTTTCTCCGAAAATCACTCTTGTAGTCTCAGATTGTTCAATTTCTTCAGCGATTGCCAGAGCTGGGTCAAACTGCTCTTTCTGAAGAGCTACAAGCTTCTTACTCACTAGGTTTGTTGAGTTCATAGATGGCTGACCCAGGCTAAATATCAAAGGAAATGGAGAAATCATGTTGATAGTTCAGGTCAAGGTCTCTTCGGAAGGCTACCTGTAACTATTTTTAGTCGCTTTTATTTATAGTGCCATACCGGCATATTGTTTAATTTTGTTTGCTGTTAAAAGAAAAATTATCGAAAAGCTAAGCTTATGTAATGCACCAGTCAAAGTAAATCCCCGTGCCCAACCCAGGAAAGGCGGGAACATTAGCAGAACAAAAACAGATCATTGTTTCTCAAACTGTCCCGGTACACGGGGTCTTGGATGAGAATGGCTTTTTCGGTATTCGAAACGGAGAATTTCTCTGCTAGGGGTTTTGAGTCTAGAACTGTGTGTTGCAAATAATTGAAGAGCTCTTCAGGTTAAATTTAAAAGAGCAAATAAAGTCGTTCAATGTTACTTTGTTGTCTGTTTTTGTGTTTTTAATGATTTTTTTTCGAAAATTCATTTACATGTTGTGGTCCAGAATTTTCATCGATCTAAAATTTTTGAAACCAGCTTGATTTATATTTCCCTTTGTTTCAGATTATGATCATTCATATGAGTCAATAAAAAAATGAAAACCAAACCGGCTTGAAACATTTTCACCAAATGAAAATTGGAACCTCAGAATATGTTTTCACTGGGAGGCGGGGAAAAGCGAGGACATTGGAATGAAAACATTTTCCCTGGGGACATTTTATCGAGTTCTTTTGTCCAAGTCCCTGCCTTTTCCCGGGTTGGGGGGGGGGATTTACTTTGACTGGTGCATACAAATGAGACAATTATTTGACTCTTATTTTCACAAGTCTTCTAGCTTAGAATGTTTTAAAAAAAGACTTAGATCTAGCAAGGACTTAATTAATTCTATAAGCTATAATAAGGAATCTTCCATGATAAGAAATAGGAATGAGGAATTTCTTTATTAATCTTATTTATATTTGTATTGTTATTATTATTTATTATTTAACTTCTGTTGATTTTCTATTTATTCACATATACATACTTTAGTTTTTTTTTTAACAAGTAGATAGGCAGGTCCACATCTGGACTTCAGTCTTGCGTATTCTGTAACCTGCGTTACCAAATAAACTATGTATGTACGTATGTATTTATGTACATCTACATGCATCAAAGAAACGTTTTGACAGTAAAATTTGCATTTTGCTTGTTGTGTCACTGTGCAATATATAACTAAATGTAAAACTGTACCTTACCAAGAATAAATTTCCTTCGTTTTCTCCAACTTGTTTTCGGTGGAGACATTTGAACTGAAACCCCTCTTCTGGCTGTTTTCTCTGAGTCTGTTTGTTGGCTGTTTCTTTTCAGGAGTAAGATCCAGTTGAGTACTCTTAAATAGGGTAGTTTGGGGCTCTAATGTAGGCTTTGGAGGTAGTCTTATACCCTCAGAATCCATTTCGAGATTTTCTTGCTGTTAAATTAAAAGAAGTCTGTAACCATCGCCATTTTGAATTTGGCGCAATCGATATGAAAAGTGCATGTTCATTGACCATTACAGGTAGTAGAGAATGTTTTTACACTCGTCCGCTGGCTAATAAATCGCCTTGCGCCTCTTTTAAACTCTCAAAACAGCGTGATCGCATTTTTTTTTTTTCTTTTAAATACCAATAATTTCATGATGAATTTAATTGCTTAATTTGTCTTATGCTGCTTAAAATTTATTTACTATGGTCACAAGTCGAAATATTCCAGTATTCCAAACGCGAGTAATCTGACTCAAAGGTATAAAACGAAAGCTTTTGAAATCTTTTTATATTAGCAAGATGGAGGTAAAACCCATTCAAAATTAAACGATTTGAAAATAATTTTCCTTATCAAAGTCCTTAAATGAGAAAAAAAAAAGATAGAACGAAAGGAAACAAAAATTCCGTCCCCGGGTGGGCTTGAACCACCAACCTTTCGGTTAACAGCCGAACGCGCTAACCGATTGCGCCACGGAGACCACGTTGAGTAGTGAGAGAAAATATTGTTAAAAATTTGAGACCCACAGTGCAATTCTAGAGCCCAGTTCCTCCAATGTTACGTGTTGTTTCGCTTCCCAACACGTGCACGATACATGATGAGAATATATGATAAAGACGATGGGAAGTTTTAAGAGATTGGTTGTTGATATACATTAGGAGACAAAACATTACCAACTTCCACGTTTGTCATCACGCTTATAAATGTAATATTGGCCTCGAATGAATCAGCCCTTTGCCGTATTGCCAGGCTTGCATTCAGTTTTGTTTTAATTCCCACTTCAAGTGACGTCTGGTATTGGCATCTCTACATAAGAGATCCGGCAAGAAAGAATCAGTCGGTTTTATTTACGCGTTGAGTGGACCTCAACTTCAAAGGGTTTTTTTTGTAAACAATTCAGTTTGCGTGCAAAGGAGTTTAGAGTTCTCACGCGAGGTCATAACCCTGTCAACTTCTTTCGACAATTTAAGGGCTTTGCCTTCCCTCAGTTTTGAAAATTTCCACTCACATACTTTCCTCTCAGCAGCGGTAGCGGCAGTTTCCAGGTTTCCGGTCCTTGCCTTAACGTTTGTCATTAGTTTTTTTCTTAGTATTCGGCTTAGTCGAAAACTTTACCCTGCCTCAAACTGGTTATTCAGTCTTGATTTCTCCTATATAATGTATTTTAAGACATCTTTTAAACCTGCAACTCCATTTTCCAGGGTTTTTTTCCTAAGATAATTGGGAGAACGAGGTTGTTAAAGCAGGGAATTTTAAGAAAATGGACTTTTTCTAATGTAGTACAGGTAGTTAAGTAGACTTGCTACTAGTCATAAGCTCCTGTAGGCCGCATATTCTTGTAGAGTGATATGTGTTATTTTTAGGCACCTTAGCATAGCTGTATGTTCACAGACTTTTGGTATGAAGTTTCACTTTATAGGCCTTTGGCACCTGATAGGTCGCCTTGCAATCAGCAAAATAGTTTAGAGAAAATGTAAGTTAACTGATCTGGCCTTTAAGAGATCAAATCCCTTGAACAAAGACCCTTGGAAGATAATCATTTGATCCCGTTTTTGATTTGCTGTATTTTAAGGAGATTAAAGTCCCATTGAATCGGAACGCCGTTTTCCCTTAACCAACATATGCAAATTGTCCGTTTGAGTTGCAAATTGAGATTTCTGTTTACTTTACAATTATGACAGCAACAGTTCATGACATTTTTCCATATAAAGATTCAACTGAAGTTTTGATTTGACTGTGTTACGACTCGGACTAGTCAACTCAAGTGTTGTAACCGACGCTGCCAAGATGCTCGACTTGTCTCTGCTTCTCTATCTAATCGCAAATGGTAAGCACAGCAGTGGTAATTATAACAATTTATTTGAACTTTACTGAGATTTGAAGCTTCTTTGAAAATCAATGTGTTTTGTGTATGTGAGGCAATGACGACTTTTCACGCCTGTATGAAGGCTTTTAATAGTGGTTGCAAGGCTGTGTTATTGTAATATTTCAACCAAGGAATGCTACGGTCGCAGGAGACTCTTCTCCTGATAAAAGTAGAAGGAAAAGGTAAAATCTCTTCTAGCTCCGAAGCTAGATCCAAATTATTTACCAACTGTCATAACACTGAGAGGTATTAACCGCAATTCTTATTCTCTTACCCTCACAATTCAATGGCTATTGCAGCCCTGATGCGTGCCTTGAACAGCTAGAAGAGCTCAGAAGAGCCAACAAGGGCTTAAGTCTAATCTCAGCGTACACTGGTCTCTTATATGTTAGTGACCTGTTTGTCAGATGTAGCAAGCGCTTTGAATAAAACTTTCAATACACCCTCCATTGTTTGTTCTCTTTCAGTTGCTTTCGGACAAACACAATTTGCAGGTGAGACTCAAATGTTTTAAGTGAGGTGAGCTGAGCGGGAATACTGAGGAGACCTTAATGTCGTGTATATGTAAATAACCAGACAAAAAAATCTACGAAAAATTCACAGAAGTAAGTTTGATCGTTCATTCCTTGTTAGGAGATGCCGATCCAACAACGGCTGCAATATTTGCTTACTTTTTATTAAATCAAGCGTTCTGAATTGTTAATTGGATCAATATGGGCGAGATTTGTCTAGTTTACCTTACAAAAAAACGTCACTTTTGATCAGTCACTGAGATTGTTAGGGCAAGTGTTTGTTTTCTTTTGGCAGTTGCTGAACGTCTGTTGTGTAAACTGTGTTTGAAAGTTTAAATAATTAAAAGATTCATGAATAGTCCAGCATACTAATGCGCATCAATGCCGGCCAATCTACAATCTAATCGCAGATTTTCTGATATAGTGGATCTTTTAGTTTTTTGTCATTTACCTAAGCGGTAGTACTAGCTAGGAAACGTTATCGTGAAAAAATACGTATGCCAACGTTTTGATGGAGAGGATCGGAGGAGTCAGGCCCCCAGTAATGCAAGCGTTGGTTCCTACAAACATTATCTCTAGCTCTTGACAGCGGCTATATGCTTTACGCAGGTCAAAGGTGTTTTGACGTCTACTTATTTGTGAGTATTATTTTAGCAATGGCTACCTGGCGGTCACATAACAGAAAACTAAATCCCACCAAAACTCTCTACCTCTGCTGATCTGAATGGACAACATGGCAAAATCTATGACGTAAGAGCTGATGGGAAAAGGGTACCGTTACTTTTTCCGTCATAAAACAAACTAGCTAAATAACATTTCTGAACAAATCACTCTCGTTTACAGGGTCATCATGTAATGAAGGACTAGGCATGCAAAATTATTGGATCCAAAACGCAGACATCACTGCTTCGTCCATTCGTGATATTTTCCATGATCCTGGAAAGGCTCGTCTCCATGGAAACTCAGCTTGGATGCCATCAGCTCAAAATGAAGAGCAGTTCTTGCAGATTTACTTTAAAGGTGGAACCAATGTTTCAGCGGTGGCCTTTCAGGGACATCCGAACTACGAGTATTGGGTTACGAGATATAAACTATCATTTAGCTTGGATGGCAAGATTTGGGAGGAATTATCCGAGGTAAATTGCGCTTTCTCGTATTTTGTAGTGGGAGCTGAGAGCTTACGCTGCGTTTTTTACCTTGTTTTATTTATTTTGTTCCCCAGACGATAGAAAGTAATTTTTGAGACCGGCTTACGTGAACTGAAATATAATCATAAAAGAAGTAGCGTTTACTATCTTTGTTGGCCAATTTCAGAGAAGGGCTTTGAACACCCCTTAAGAAAGTTGTGAATCTAACGCCTAAAATGAAAAACCTTGTGACTTTTCATTTTACAGAACCCTTTTTCCTACAGGTTTTTACTCTGGTTAGGGATAACAAAGATGAAGTTATTACTTCCCAACTCCCAGAACTGAAAAACGTGCGTTTCATTCGGGTATATCCTACAGAGTGGTATGATGCTATAGCGATTAGAATGGAGATTTATGGATGTATGAAAGGTAGGCTATTTTCAGTTATATCCCATAAAACGTCTTACCAATTTACTCTTGTGGGTGGTTTGTTGTTATAGCATATATAAAAAAACTTTAGCATCCTCCTTACCGATCGCAAGAAACATACCGTAAAATGTGGCTTATAAGGCCTCAATACAAGCTAGGGGGGCCCGTGTCCAGGAGACTTTAAATCCGATGGTTTTGCTCACAGATAGATTAGCTTATAGCTGCTGAGGGGAGCTTATAAACGGCAGTTTATAGTATAATGAAGGTGCACATGAGGCAATTTTTACTTAGCCGAAATATAATAAAAACAAGGCGCAACGGAGGCAACGCTAACATTACCATCTTCTCTCATTATCAGTTATGTACCGTTTTCTTTGGCAATCCATACATGAATTATAGGTCAAAACAGCTGGAATCTCTTTTTTGGAAAGTTTATCTTTTCTGTCATTTGTCTTTCTATCCTAGAATTTGCTAGCTGTGGAAACCGCGTTCTTACGAACCATCATTCACGTCAAAAGCGCATTGTTGGCGGCAAAGTTGCGGAGCCAAATTCTTGGCCATGGCAAGTTGAAATTATAGAAAATGGTACCAAGCATTTCTGCGGTGGTTCCATCATACATCCACAATGGATTCTGACAGCTGCACATTGTGCAGACCCATTCTATAGTACTACAGTCAAGGAAATAAGACTTGGAGAACACAACCGAGTAAAACTCGAAGGATACGAAGAAATTATGGAAGGCAACAGATATTATATACATCCAGGATTTAAGATCGACCGCCCGACGGCAGAGTCCCCAGGGGATTATGACGTGGCACTGTATCATTTAAAAAGACCCGCTACATTTTACAGTAAAGTAAGCCCAGTCTGTCTGCCTGATGAGGACTCAACTGTCCCTGAAGATATCGGTCGAATGTGCTTTGTTACGGGCTGGGGACACAGCGTGGAAAATGGAACTTATTCTGAAGTTCTACAAGAGAACCAGGTACCTATAGTATCACGACAGGAGTGCAACAAAGAAGAATCATACAACGGGAAAGTTCACGAACGTTACTTGTGCGCTGGATACCAGGAGGGTGGGATGGACGCCTGTCAGGGAGATAGCGGGGGGCCCTTGGTGTGTCAAGATGGCGCAGGAAAATGGGTCCTTGCTGGAGTGGTGACGTGGGGGGAAGGATGTGCGAGGCCGCATAAATATGGGGTCTACGCTGATGTACGTAGATTTCTGCCATTTATAGAAAGCACCATATACGGTAAGAAAATTAAAAAATAAATGGTTAAGTAGTTTTAAACTGCAAAAATGATTAAAGGTTTGGGACTATGTTCTGAGCAATTTGTCAGAGCAACTAATTTAGCTCATAAGAAAACAGAACGGAATCTTCACTCTTTTAACTCCCCAGTTTTCAAAATTTACATTCGAATTAACTTCCATATAAAACGCAGGCGCGGATCTAGGATAAATACTGACTGATTTCCTAAACGAGCCTTCTAGAGGGTCACTTTTTTGGATTTTAAAAGTCATTTGACCATTGGCCAGAGTTCATTTTGGAAAGTGTTTTATTTAATTTTTGTTGAAAATATATTTATTATGAAAAATCTGACCGATTTTCGTAAAACGCTGGAAGCCGGTGTGGATCCGCGCCTGAAACGACAGAACGTTAAACACCTGCACTTTATTAAAAATTACCAGTCAGTGTAACTTGGGCTCGTCACGAGGCAATGGCCCTAAAACAGTAATAACATGTTCTAAATTTTCTTTACCCCACTTCAAAGACAAATGCGCAGGTCTAGCTCACTACTAATTTAGTTATAATTATGCAAATTCCAAAAAAGGTTACCCAAAATGCGGAATTCGCCCTGTTCAGTCCCAGATCTCCCGCATAATTGGTGGTCGCGAGGCTCGTCCCAACTCTTGGCCGTGGCAAGTGGATCTCTTGGTCAATGGCACTGCTCACGGATGTGGAGGGTCTCTGATTGGTTCTTCCTGGGTTGTGACGTCAGGGCACTGTTTCTTCTTATATGACAAACCAAGTCAGTGGCAAATCAGGGTTGGAGAACACAATGAATCTAAATTCGAGGGCTATGAAGAAAAGATTGACATCGAGAACATAACAATTCATCCAGGATTTCAACTCGGCAGCGAAAATTACACGGGTGATTACGATATTGCGATCATTAAACTCAAGAGACCAGCGGTGTTCCACAAACGAGTTCATTCCATTTGTCTTCCGGACATGGAAACCAGTTTCTCAGCTGGTAAAACCTGTTTTGCCACCGGATGGGGAAAACAACAGGAGAATGCTTCGGCTTATTCGGAAGTTCTTCGAGAAGTGGAAGTTAACTTGGTGTCCAAAGAAGTCTGTAACAGCAATATTTCCTACAGGGGTGGGATAAACGAGAGATATTTTTGCGCCGGCTTTCCAGAGGGTGGTAAAGACGCGTGTTATGGTGATAGTGGTGGTCCCCTGGCCTGTCAGAAAGAGGACGGTAGTTTTGTTCTGACGGGAGTGGTCAGCTGGGGTACAGGTTGTGCTAGAGCCAACAAGTATGGGGTGTACTTGGATGTACGATACATGCTGCCATTCATTGAGAATACTTTATATGGTAAGTCTCCACAAGTCATCTGTGTTTTCTTAAATTCTTAATGATGAGTTTCATTTTCTTGGCGTTTCCTCTTTTGTGAGTGCGCCGAAATGGAAGCAAATATTTACGCACGTTAGCGATTGTTCTTTACACCATCCTTAAACAAAAAGCAAATTTAAGGTCAATCAGTTTCATCTTGAGGTAAAGCAGGTATTACTGAATGAAGCAATGGTATTTGAATTATTAAAACAATACCAGTTTCAGCACTGAAATACTCGTACCAACTCTGCGGTATGGCCTGTACCTTACTCATGGGGCGCAGGTCTACTGAATACATGAGCACAACCATACTGATGATCGCAAGTGAGACCTCTCACCTGGGCCATGCTGATGAGTCCTTCATGAGGACGAAACAGCTGCCTATGGCTGCCACTGCCGGGGTGATATGGTCGTTCTCATGCGCAAGGTACTGGCCATACCGCGGAGTTGGTACGAGTGCTTCAGTGCGGAAATTGGTATTATTTGGGTTATTATCCTACATAATGAAGTACAAATTAGAAGCCAAACAGGACGTTGATCAAAAAACCAAGTACAAGCTCACTAGTTCACCTGACTATAATAGAATCTGTTCTTTAGAAAATACTGCAATACAATACAAGCATTCAAGCCATGTTTTCATTTCAGTGTTTTATCTAACTATGAGATTAACTTTGAAAACTGTTCGCGGTTTTTGCCAGACGCAAGCTAAGACAAACCAAAAGAAAGCGCAAGAAAACAGAGAATTCAAATTATGTTTTCACTGCATTGTATACTTTGCTCATATTAGGTCATCCTTCGTGCGGAATTCGTCCTGTTCAGTCCCAGATCTCCCGCATAATTGGTGGACGCGAGGCTCGTCCCAACTCTTGGCCGTGGCAAGTGGATCTCTTGGTCAATGGCACTGCTCACGGATGTGGAGGTTCTCTGATTGGTTCATCCTGGGTTGTGACGTCAGGGCACTGTTTCTTCTTATATGACAAACCAAGACAGTGGCAAATCAGGGTTGGAGAACACAATGAATCCAAATTCGAGGGCTATGAAGAAAAGATTGACATCGAGAACATAACAATTCATCCAGGATTTCAACTCGGCAGCGAAAATTACACAGGTGATTACGACATTGCGATCATTAAACTCAAGAGACCAGCGGTGTTCCACAAACGAGTTCATTCCATTTGTCTTCCGGATATGAAAACTAGTTTCTCAACTGGTAAAACCTGTTTTGCCACCGGATGGGGAAAACAACAGGAGAATGCTTCGGCTTATTCGGAAGTTCTTCGAGAAGTGGAAGTTAACCTGGTGTCCAAAGAAGTCTGTAACAGCAATATTTCCTACAGGGGTGGGATAAACGAGAGATATTTTTGCGCCGGCTTTCCAGAGGGTGGTAAAGACGCGTGTTATGGTGATAGTGGTGGCCCCCTGGCCTGTCAGAAAGAGGACGGTAGTTTTGTTCTGACGGGAGTGGTCAGCTGGGGTACAGGTTGTGCTAGAGCCAACAAGTATGGGGTGTACTTGGATGTACGATACATGCTGCCTTTCATTGAGAGTGTTATAACCGGTAAGTTTCATGCAAATTGCGAGAATGCGTTTAAAATCGTTATTCTCCTGTTATTTGCCTTCTTTGTAGCGTGACGCCTTTTTAATATTGGTTATTAACTCTAATTACAAAGTCTGACTAACAGTGCTAAGGACGCTTGACCTCGCAGGGCAGATCTGCTGGTGAGGTTATTATCTAGAGAAGAAATGTAACAAGGAGTGTCCACTGAGAGGCTAAGAGCACTTCAACTCACACATCTCTTAAAATCAGTTATGCGGAAATCAATAGTAAAAGTGGACTATTTATAGACTACAAGAAATAATGGGGTCTCTACATAAGCGTTACTTTGATCCGGGAAAGAAGCTGTTGAAATACTGACAATTGCTGGCATATTTTGAAACTGACACATCAGCAAGTTCTTTTAATGATCCTTGTCTTTCATTGATTTTGAGGTTTTCGTCCCGAATGTGGTACCCGCTTTATTCCTTCCTCAAGTTCTTTGATGGTCAGCGGACATGACGCTCGCCCCAACTCCTGGCCGTGGCAAGTTGAGTTATTGTTCCTTAACACACATGCGTGTAGTGGAACTCTTATAGACGGACTCTGGATTCTAACTTCTGCAGATTGTGTGAACGCGAGAGGCAAACCTGAAAACTGGACAGCTCGAGTCGGCGAACATGACAGAACAGTCTTGGAGGGGTATGAAGAAATCATAGGGGTTAAAAATATCGTAGTTAGTCTTAAAAGACACATTGCGTTGATGAAGCTTGAACGAATGGCTGTATTGCACCGTCGAGTTTCCCCTATCTGCCTTCCAAATGAAGGAACCGAGTTTGCAAATGGCTCTTTATGCTATGTGATTGGGTGGAGATCTTTTGACAAACAAGGAAATACCTCCAATATATTGAAAGAGGCTCAAGTCAAATTAGACTCAACAAAGCTCTGCAACTCATCATTTAATGGGACAATTAGTAAGTACGAACGCTGCGCCAGCTCCGTCAGGAATGAGGACCAAATTTGTAACGTCGATGGCGGAGCGCCGTTAGTTTGTCCAAGGAATGATGGGAAGTTTGTCCTTGCTGGAGTAGCAAATTCCGGGGACTGGTGCTCGAATGCAGGCCAACATGGCGTCTTTACTGACGTTAAATCGATGCTTTCGTTTATTCATAATACTGTTACAGTAGCAGCGGATATTATGAGTGCTTAGGTGTAAATCATAATTCAATGTGTCTTTCTTTTGCCACATACATTCTGTATCACCCAACATGGTGTCACTAAAGAAATCATTGCGAGATGCTTGCACATCACTTGTGACCTTGAAAAAGTAGAGAACTGCAGAACTATTTTTGTACCTCAAATTTACATTTACCATAATTTTCGTTGCGATACAACTTGTTAAAAAGGGTGTTTCACATTCAGTCTCATTCTCAACTGTTTTCGTAGCGGTATCCGTTGCATTAACCGTTTCATTTTACAAATGAGTGTCATGAGTGAAAGCAGCGTAAAAAACCTTTTCCGCGCAAGAAATTTTCAGTTGTTACAGAGTCCAATTTCTACGTTTTGCAATGAGGCAATGTAAAGCTAAGAAACGCTTTTACTTTGGTAGTAATATGCTTAGAACTAGTTTCTACTGACCTGCAGCATTGAAGCTCTACTGCGAATCATCAGCTGTATGAAAAATGTGTCCGTATCATTCTGACCCAAAGTGACACCAGGGGCACCCAACGAGGATATAGTTCAAAACCACTTAACATAGCATTTTTGAACGTATTTTAGTATTTAAACAGTAGATATAGGCATATTTTTATCCCCTAAAAACTTTTCATCTGTTCGGATTTCCTAGCTGAAAGTCTAGTGATCCGAAAATTATAGGGATCAAAACTTACGTTTTCGAAAAATTCAGCAAGGAAAAGGCTCCCGAAAATTCTAGGTGACCTTTTTTAGGGTAAATATCCGTTTAAAATGGGTAATTATACCATTTTGTAGATGTCCGAAAATCCTAGGAGAGGCAGGCAAGCAAGAAATTTTACAACAAATGTTCCGAAAATTCTAGTTCTCAAATCGTCTTCCGAACAGATATTTTCCGAAAATTGCCGTTGGGTGCCCCTGTGACACATTTGAGTTTATTTTTGACTTAAGATCTCGTCCTAAAGCAGGGTCTGGGTCCCTTAGTGCACACGTTTTTTGTTTGTTCCGGGGCAATCCAATGCTTTCCATACCCATAACTCCCCGTTGTACGTCTCAAAACTGAGCGTGTAATACAGTGGTAGTCTTACAACTCTTCAGAACCTCTAATGTAATTGTACCCCTATGGGTTGCAGCTCATTTGTAACTTAGCACTAGCTTAAATATTGTGAGAAAAATAAACTGAATTGAACTGAATTGAATTTCGTTCTCGGTTCCATTGTTAACTTTGTTCAATGTTTTCCCGATCAATCCTGTGAGGTCTTGCGGGAGCTGTAAGGTCATCGTCTGATAGGGCGAAGTGAACACAACATCATTTTGTGCCGGTACGGACCCAAGCACGGGTGCTCGCCCGCACCTAGTGTGAACAGACCCTTTGTGAGCTTTGATCTAAATTGTCACAAAATTTGTAATTAGCATTTAAGTTGGTTGTAGTTATTATAAAGAAATTTAACAAGAAATATGCATAATCACTGTGCATTTATTATAAAAGACGTCAGCGGTTATATAAATATCATGCAGCAACGAAGTGCGTAGAGCTTTTCTTCCGAAATCTAGTAAAATGTCTAAAATGTTTTTACAACTCATTTGTGTGGAAATGTGTATGTACCCCTGTCCAAGTGATGTGCTAAATTATTATTTCGCATCCATATCCTTATTTCGTAACATTAAATTTCGCTTGTGAACAAACAGTTCTATGCCTCATATAGTACACACCAAGCCTTACATTACAAACATTTGAAAAAATTCTTTCATCATTTGGTTTTATCTGGAGTTCATTGAACGGGTGAAAAGAGCTTTGTTTACCTCCCTAACTTGAAACACCTCTTGTATGAAAAAACCTTACTCGATTCACTCATCATTATGGTAACGTGAGAACCAAAGAATGACATAAATGACTGTTTAACTGCGCGCGTTTCTTTTTGTTCGCCGAGTCAATATTATTTCCAGTTCGCTGTCGTTTTCGATCATGTGTTGAGGGTCATTTAATGATGTTATCAATTTAAAACTTTGTCCGTACAGTTATTCTAACTCGCCCCACCTTGAATGCCTCTTTTATGGGTCTTAAATTCACGAATGATTTTTAAGATGCCGAGAATGCGTTCGACCCGAAGCATTAAACTCTCACTTTCCTTGAATCACATTTTCATCTGATATCACCTCAGATTCGCCATCTGTGTCGTTCGACTCTCGATGTTCATTACTTGCACTACAGGGTGAAAACGCCTCCCAGCCTTCATTTTCTTGTAAGGATACTTCATCCATACCTTTGTTTTGGGGTGGAGAGGTCTTCAACCCTTCCAATCGCTCCCTGGCGACCCTGAGTTTATCTTCAAGAGGCACTGCTCTTGTTTGTGCGTCAAACACTTCTTTTTTAGGGGACGCTGCATGCTGAATATTACTCTTTGGAGTGTTCAGAATATTTGCTGCCCTTGGTTTTGTCTCGCTTGTTGTGAAGGTTCTCGGCGACTTCGGCTTTATTTTATCTGAACGCAGATTGTCTCTTTCTACCCTTATCGCCTCATACATTTCATTTAAATCACGAAGTTTTTGCTTGCCCTCTTTAACTTCTTCTTGGAGCGCTTTAATGGTATCGATGGTCTTTTCGTTCACCTCCAAAACTAACAACCGTTGCTGATTCGTTCTCAACTTTTGTTCCAATTCCTTCTTTTCTTTTTGAGTCTTTTCGTTATTTTCCTTCAACATTCCAATTCTTTTGCTTAAAAGTTGCAGTTCTTTCTTCAGTTGCTCCTTTTCCATCTCTAATTTTTGTAGCTCGGTTGAGTGAATCGAATCTTTTTCTTCAAACTGCTCTTGAGAACTATTAATTTCGTCCTGAAGATTATCATAGGCAATCTTTAAATCGTTGTAAAGTTTTTGTAAGGTAGACATTTCTAACTTGAGTTTCTCTTTCTCACCTTTTTCCTCCAGCCAACTTGACTCTAGTTCTGGGATCTGCCTTCTCAATACTTCAAGCTCGTCTTGTGTGTCTTCCTGCGTGCTCATCAGAGCTAAGACATCAGCTTCCTTTGCGTTCACTTCTGCGGTCATCTCTGAAATTTCGTTTACGAGTTGGCGATTTTCCTTCTGCATCCTTTTAATAGCTTCATCTTTTTCTCGCATTTCTTTTTTGTCCATGTCATGTTCGTGTTTTTCCTCTCCTAGTTGATTCTTCAACTGCTGCAATTCTTTTCTCAACTTCGCGTTTTGCTCTTTTGTTTCCTTAACTTTCAAGTTTGATTCTGCTTGATTCCTTGCAGACGTACAAAGCTCTTCCTCGAGAGATGCGATCTTATTTTTGCTTGACTGTAAATCCCTTAGAAGATCTTCGTTGCTATTAGCATGTAATTGTCTCTTGTTCTCTAAATCAGAAACCTTCTTCTGCATTTCCAGAAGTTCTTTTTCTTGAGAGCTCAGTTTTTGTTGGTTTTTCTTCATGGTGTTTTCTAATTGCGAATTGGTTTCTTCCATATCAGCTACTTTATTCTGCAAATGCTCAATCGTCTCTTCAAATGTGGCATTACATTCCTCTAGACCCTGAATTGTCTCGTGGGCGGAATCAAGTTCCGATTCCATTTCGTTTTTGGCTTTAGTCGTTTCATCTAACTCGTTCCGATCCAGTTGCGCAGAGTACTCTGTTTTAAATAACAAGTCTTGAAGTTCCGTTATCTTGTCCTGTTTCAAGGCAATCTCTTTTTCCAACGAATCTTTCGCGGTGAGTACTTTTAACAATTCTTTCTCTAGGTCTTCATTCTCTTCTTGTAAACTTTTGTTCTCTTTTTCTGCTTCTTCATTTTGAAGTAGAATATTTTGATAAGCGCTCTCCAGCTCACTGAATTCTTTACGGCTCAGCAGATCATTTGGTTCGGCTTTTGTTTGAGGCATCTCTGACTTCTTCACCGGTGAATGAAAGCGCTTTTGAGCTTCGCTTAACTTGTTTTGTAGTCTTTCATTTTCATGCTTCAAAGCCTCCAGCTCAATCTTTTGCTCCGAACAATTTCTTTTCAATTTGCCAAGTTCATCTTTAAGCTTTTGTTTTTCCCCATCCAATGTCTTGTTTTTGGCTTCCAGGCTATCAATAACTGGACGTTGTGAGATCAAATCGCCGTTGAGTTTCTTGATCTCTTTTTGAGCGTCCTGTAGAAGATTTTTTTGTTCATTTGCGCTTGCCTTAAGTTGTGATAGATCTGTCTGTAGCTTTTTATTTCTTTCCTTTGTTTTCTTAACACTGTTTTCAAGCTCACTTTTCAGGTTTTCCTTTTCTTCGATGATCTCCTTCAGTTTTTGCCGCTCCTGTTCAAACTTTTCCTGTTCTTCTTTACCTTTGATGCATTCTTTCTTTAAATCATCTTCCAAAATTTCTTTCTTGTTTTCCAACAGTCGAATACGCGCTTCCTTTTCAGACAAAACTTTCTTGTGATCATTCTCTCCTTCTTTCTGTTGCGAGAAAGACTTCTGAAGGTTGTCATAATAACCTTCAACATCCGCTAGTTTCTGACGCTCATTCTCCAATTCTTGTTTTAAGGTAGAATTTTCCTTCTGCTCCTCTTGGGCATAAAGCTCCAACTCTTCAATCCTTTTCTGATGCTGTGCTACCATACTGTTGAGCTCAATTTGTTCCGCTTCAAATCCTTCCTCTCTTGTTTCATACTCCGCTAAAGTTTTCTTCAACTCAAAGTTTTCTCCGTCTAGTTCCCTGTTCTTCTTCAATGTTGTGTTCATGAGCGCATGCGCTGAAGACAGTTCATCTCGGAGGGCCTGGATGTCTTTTTCCAGGTATTTTTTCTCAGATTGAACTGAGTCTAAAACATTTTCATTATCCTCTGCTTCTCTTGTATTGTGGTCCCATTTTGTTTGTAGCTCTTGTAATTCACATTGCGCCTGGAGTAGTTCATCCTCAGCTCTCCTAACTTTTCCACGCTCTAGTTTTAACTCCTCTTCTAGGCGACATTTTGCTGCTTCCAGACCGGAATTTTGGGCTACCATTTTGTCCAATTTTTTCTCCATCGTCTCTAGTTGGCTTTTCGACATATTCAAGTCTTCCTTAGATTTCATCGACTGGCTTTTAAGCTCACCGACTTCTCTCTCGGAGTCTTCGCACCGTGCCATTAAGACATTTTCCCTTTCTGATAAGATGTCTAAAGTGTTTTGCTGTTGGTTATTTGTGGCTTTTAAGTCTTCTAACTGATCTTGTAAGCTGCGCTCGTTTTCAATGCTCTTCTGAAGGTTTTCTTCTGCTTTCGTGAGATTTTCTTTTATTGTTAATAAGTCAGAATCCTCTTCTGAATCTTCAGGTTCATCGTCATCGATCAAAGCACTTTGAAGCGGAGTGGAATTCACGACTTCGGTCATAGTATTTTCTTGAGCTGATTGTAGTTCTACTTTCAACTTGTTGAGCTCATCTTTATTTCGATCTAGTTCTTTCTGTAAAGAAACATTATAAGCTTTTAAGTTTGTGATCTTATTTTCTTTGTTTTCTAACTCATTCTTTTCCTGTAGCAATTCATCTTGTAGTTCAGTCATGTGGTTCTCAACATCGGCCAGTTCTTCACTTTGCTTCTGTACAATATTTTCCAATTTTTTTTCTTTGCTTTTCAATTCGTTTCTCTCGCTATTTGCTTGTGACACTTCCTCATTCAATTTCTCTATCTCTGATATCTTCATTTCAAGTTCCTCTTTAGTCGTTTGCTGTGTTTTTGTTGCCTTCTGCAATCGGTCTTTCAGATTAGAAATGTTCTTCTGTTGAGCAATAACCTCATCTTGAAGTTGTTGGTGCCCCCCTCTAAGCTTCTCACACTCACCAATAGCACTTGTAAGACTGCTTCTAAGTTCCGTGGACTTTTTCTCCAAGTGCTCTTTGTCCGCCTTAAGCTCTTGTATCTGATTATTTTTTTGCTCAATCTCTTTCTTTGTTACCTCTAAATGAATCTTTTGTTCCACGCACTGTTTGCTGAGTTTTAGTATCTCGTTTCTATTGGCATCCGCCCTGACTGTTGTGTCTTGTAATTGGCTTTGAACCACTGTATTGTCTCTCCGCTCGTTCTCGTATTTCAGTTCTAGTTCCGATAACTTGCGGTTAACTTCCAACACTTCCTCTCGCAGGTTTTTCCTCTCCTTATCGCATTGTTCATAGGTGACCTTCAAGTCTTCGAGTTGTCTTTGTGATTTAGAAAGTTCGAACTGAGTGTCGAGGCAATCTTGACGAGACATTTTAATATCATGCTCAAGTTTAGAGATTTTCGTTTTGCTGCTTGAAATTTCCTTCTCAAGGACTGCCTGTCGTTCTTTACTTTGTTCTAACATGAGCTTCAAGTGTTGTTCATGGGTGGAATCTTCTCGTCGTATTTCTCTGTCATCCCTCTCCTTAACAAGGACTTCTAAAGTTGTCTCATATTGACTCAGCTTACTTTTTAAGGAATTAATTTCATCTTGAGACGACTTCAGCTTTAACTCCGTGGAATCATGGTAGAATGTAATGGTTTGTAATTCCTTCTTTAATGCTAGGTTTTTGTCTTCCAAGGACTCCTTGGAGCTTTTTATTTGTTCAATCTGTCCGTCTTTTTCAGCAATTTCAGCCCTGTAGCTGTCAACGATTCGTTCTTTCTCTCGTACAAGATTATGAGCCACCAGAAGGTCGTCTTGAAGTTTCTGTAATTTCTTTTCTACAGATTGTAGATCGTCTTTATAACGCTCTTTTTCCCTTGTGGCTGTCCCTAACTGGATTTGCAGATTTTTAAACTTTGCTGCCTGAGAACTCAGTTCGACATTCACTTTCCTATTTTCTTCGCTTGCATTGGAAATCTCATTTTCAAAGAGCCCTAATTTCGTTTCTTGCTCTTGTACCTTTCTAGTGAGCCTACTATTTTCGTCCAGGGCAAACTCATGAGACAGTTTACTCGTGGTCAGATCATTTTTGACGTTATTCAACTCGATTTGTAAAGTTTTGATCGTGTTTTGCATATCCTCGCAGTTTTTGTCTTTTTGCTCCAAGTTAGACTGCGCAGACTCATACATTTTCTGATGTTCTGTCGCTATAATTTCTAGTTTCATTAGCTCTTCACCGTTTTTAGCTAGTTCAATGTTGGCTTCAATAGCTTTTTCTTTAAGCTCTTCGTTTTGTCTTTGAAGTGTTTCGATTTGTCCCTCGTACTTCGCCAGCTTACTGCAAAAATCCTGAAGCTCTTCTTCTCCCTGTGACTTGGTCTTGATAGCTTCATTGAGATCTTGCTGCATTTCCAACATTTTTTCTTCAAGTTCGATTCGTCGTCGAAATTCATGTTCCCGTGACGTCAAAGTTTCATCCAGCTGGTTTTTCAATGCTGCTTTTTTCTCCTCTAGATCATCAATTTTTTGGCACAGTTCTTTTTTTCCTTTGACGTGTTCCTCACCCTCCTGCTCCAATGCAGTAATTTTGGAGCGATAGGAAGCAACATCTGCTTCCTTGTACACAAACTTATTGCGTTCTTCTTGCAGAGTTTTTACCAGATTACTCTCCTTCGCTTCATTTTCCTTTAAGTTAGATTCCATTGTGTCTATTTTCGTCCTTGCCACGGACAAGTCAATGTCAAGGGATTCTTTTTCTTTTGCGATGTTTTCACACGCTTTTGTAAGGCGATTGATTTCCTCCTCGTTACTTTTGAGTTTCAAGTTTACCCTTTTAAGCTCGTCGGAGTTTGTCTCATTCAAAGACTCCTTGTATGAAAGCTCAGTTTTAACTGTATCCAAGTCTGTTTCTAGAGAACTGATCTGGTCCTTGAGATTTTCAACGAGAAGTTCTTTTTCTTCCACTTGTTGACGAAGACATTCGCATGTTTTCTGCAGTTCCTCCATCTGGCTCTGAATGCTGCTTTCCTCCTCGATCTTCCTCTTGATATTAAAGTTACTTTCATGAAGCTGGAGTTCCAGATTTTTTTTTATCTCAGAAGCTTCATCCAATTCTTCCTCCATTCTTATCAATCTTTCCTTCGTCGATGAAATCTCGTGTTCTTTTTCCTTCATGTCTTGATCCGCGGCTTCAAGCTTCGACTGTAGATCAGAAATGGTTTTGTTAGCAATATCAAGATGTTGTTTGAACTCTTGCTTTTCACTCTCCGCGACTTTGGAATCCACTTGCATATCCGCCATATCTTTTTGAGTCTGCAACAGGTCGTCTTTGTACTCCTGTATCTCCTGTTCATATTGGTCTTGCACTTCAAGAACCGCAGTGTGCTTCTCGCTAAGTTCTTGATATTTTAACTCCATGTTAGCAGCTACGACCTTCTGCTCAGCAATAATCACGTCCCTGTCAGCAAGCTGACGTTTATAATCATCTTCTTCTTTTTTCTGTTTCGAAATACTTTGCTGAAGGCTAGTGCATTCATCTTGCATTTTTAAGCATTTTTCTCTTTCCTCTGACAGCTTTTTCTCTAGCGAAGCTCTCTGTGTTTCGCCAAGGTTAGTTTGGATTTCCATTTTGTGCATTTCTTCCCGCGTTTCCTTCAACTTCAACTCGAGATCGTTATTTTCCTTCTCTTTCCTCTGCAACGCGAAGCGTGTTTCTTGCGCTTGCCTCTTGGCTTGCTGGAGTAGTGCATTAGAGTCTAACCCTCCATCATAAGGTTTGATTGGGGCGCATGACTCTAGTTCTGCGATTTTGTCCATCAACTGCTTCAGCTGCACGTTCAATTCTTGAACCTGTGATTTATGGCGACAGCTTTCTGCCTCACTTTCAGACAATCTGTGACTCATCTCCGATAACTCGGCCTCTAAGTATTCAAGTTTCTTATTGTCTTCTTCAGGCGACGATTCTTGATTGGGGCCCCTCTGGAAGGCGATCTCCTTGCTATTTTCACCGGTCTTTGACTCTAGCTCTCTAATCCTCTCCTTGTAATGCTGATTTTCGGATAATAAGTTGTTTAATTTTTCATCTGAGCTTTCCAGTTTTATTTGGGTCTCCCGTAACTCACGTTCTAGTCTCGTTTTATCTCTTTGTGCAGCATCAATACTCCTCTCGATGTCATGAATTTGGTCTTTCTTTGCCCCGAGTTCCACGTTGCATAAATCCAACTTTTCTCTATAAATTTCAACTTCGTTTTCTAATCCAGAACAGCTGTCGCGATACATTCGAAGTTGATCCTTGATGCTGTCTATTTTACACAATAAAGAATTATTTTCTGACCCACTTCCTGTCACTTCTTCTGATCCGCACTCTGCTTGAATCGTCTCCAATTTTTTTGCAGCTGCTAATAAATCACGTTTTAATGACTCGTTCTCTCTTTGTAAAAACTTCGCCATTTCCTGACAGTCTTGAAGGTCTTGCTTGTTTTGTAGCAGTTCCTTGTTCAGTTCTACGAAATCAGCATCATTTTGTCCATCATTCAAATTAAAATGTTCCAGGTGCTTTTTCAAAACATTCATTTCTTTGTCTAGCTCCTCTTTTTCTCCTTGAAGCTTTTTTATGATGATGTCTCTCATTACTTCATTTCCATCATTGCATTTTTCGATCTCCGAACATCTTTGTTGACTCTTAATTAAGTCTTCTTGAAGTTTTTTGCTGCTTTCTCGGGCCTCTACTACTTTATCCTTCAATCTCAGATTTTGTTCAGTCAGCTCTTTGATGCGCATTTCCAAATTTGCAACCTGGAGACAAATCAAAAGATGTAAACCTTATTTATCGATCGTTGCAATTTCATTCCCGAAAGTAAGTTATGTGTTAAGCACAGACTGAAGTTCACAGTTAAAGACCCCACTGAGATGATAAATGCTAAAAGAATGGTTCTCAACCTATCAGATATGGCAAGTAGAAGGGACAATTTTAACTGAAGACATGTACGCATGCATGTTCAGTGAATCACAAAAAATCTCCTGAATGAGACCGTTTTGTCTACAATATCATGTACCTGTTAGTCTTTGTACCACCCCCTGAACCGCCGCTTTTCGTTTTTGACACTAAGCATGGAGATGGACTCGTTTCTAGAGCCGCGGATTTGGCCTCTCTGATCTTACAAAAGATCGTCAGACATCGGATTGCGGGGCAGTTTTGGGGCCGCTTTACTGAGGTGGCCTTGCTTCATTTCGCTACAACTGTTGTGTCTATGTATGAGCGATCTTTGATAGTCCTGATTGACATCAAATGAGGCAGCATTGTGTCTATGTATGAGCGATCTTTGATAGTCCACTGAGCTATCCCGTCCGGCGGTACATGCTTTTAGCCTAAATCACAAGAACTACAACTGAACATTTACTTTGTTGCTAAACAAGTCCGTTTTCCGGCTAACTGGTGACGATACCAACCGACTTAGGATAAGCACATGAAAATTCTCCAGTCAGAATTGAACAACTTTAGTTTTCACCCTGCTCCAAAACCGAGGACTATTGGCACTCTTTGTACTAAAACTGAAAAAGTGTTTACGGTATATTGTCATTGGGCCTCAGCGTCAACATACAGAACAACAATCACTTTACTTACCTCTCCAAGATCATTTCCCTGCAGTTTTTGCACATCTTTAAATCTCTCACTTTCTTCGTCCATGAAAACCTCGTTGTTGTTATTAATTATTTCTGGAGTTGTTTTCGCCATTTTTTAACGTTTGTTTCATAACATCAGTGGCGTTTGAACTAGCATCCGCTTATACCTCGATGACTGACTAGAGCGCTTTCTTTGAATCGAAAGCACTAATAGGTACGCTAATAACGTAAGCGATGATAAAGTCCAAACCTTCTTTTATAAAGAGAGAGACATTGTTTGTTACATCACATGATCACATTATGTGGTTCGCGTTCTAAGTCGTTTGAAACTCTGTTGAAGTTATCACTTAGAAAGCGTACTTTTGCATGCTTGGAATCTTTTGAATATTTACATGCAAATCGCAGAGTAACAACACAATACATGGCTTATAAACAGCGATTGATATAAAATCTCTGGAGAATTAAAGTCTTATTGTTTTATGGTTTGGTAACTCAGTATACCACGCTTCACAATAGATGTATAGTGTTTGTTTAAAAAAATAAAACTGGCATTTTTATTCTGTCATCATTGAGTCACATTTCCACGGGAGACCAGTGTTCTCATCTGTAAGCTATATGAATACCGTCACAAGGTGCTAGCCGGTATGATACGATCAGAGAGCTTAAATTCAGTTTGAAAAAAGTAGCATTTGCTTAGAAACAAAGCATGTAAAAATAACTGGAACTGAAGCTCCGGCGAATGCGCGTGTCATGGTCTTAAAAAATGGCGCTCAACGGGCTTTAGTGTAGAAGTTCCTTTTTCTCTCCAAGGTGCCCCTCTTCCGCTAGTCTGTCCCTGATTTTCAGTCATGAGCGAAAAGAAAAGCGAGCGCGCAAAAAAAAATCGAACGAACTCGAGGACCTTACCAGTTTTCTTTTCGTTTTTCTCGCGTGCGGCGAAATCGGAAACCGCGCTTGATAAGTTAGCTTTGCCTGCATTGTAGACATTCTACACCATCTGTTGCCTAGTCCCTGTACGTCTTCTTGGGCCTTCTCGGTCAAGTAGAGTGCTTAAAACGACGAGGGCGGCGGCAACGAGAAAGGGCAAAAAAAGCAATAGGTTTAGATTGGCAAAACAACAACATTTTGCCGCACACTTTTTTGTACATTTCCCAGGGGCACCCAACGAGAATATAGTTCAAAACCACTAAAACATAGCATTGTTAAACGTATTTTAGTATTTAAACGGTAGATATAGGCATATTTTTATCCCCTAAAAATTTTTCATCTGTTCGGATTTCCTAGCATTCGAGATCCGAAAAATCACCAACAAAATTTTGCCGCAAAAGGCTCCCGAAAATTCTAGGTGAGCTTTTTAGGGTAAAAATCCGTTAAAATTTACACTAATTTTTAGATGTTCGGTACTGCAAGAAATTTTACAAAAAATGTATTCTAGATCCTCGAACAGATATTTTTTCTTGACGTTGGGTGCCCCTGATTTCCTTTCTTCACGACCTTTTAATTTCATTTTATGGAGAACTTGAACACGAGACAACGATTTTCTTTTTCTTTTTGTGAAGTTAGATACAGTCCTTTAGAATTCAACTCCTGAAAAAGGCCTCAACATCTGGCAAATTAAAAGAGTTGGAATGAGTGCGATGAAGTTTGAAACTGCGCAAATTCAGTTTTTAAGTGACGTTTTTGCTGCCATTAGTGTCGTCGTTGCCTAAGTTCCATAATACATTTCGGTGACGTATTTGAGACGAACGGCCTGAAAAATGCCGACGCTCTTCAGCGAAATAAAGTTAAATTGTAGTTTTTTAATTGTGTAATAATGCTTAATAGTACCAGATATACGAGGTTCACTTTATAAACTAGCCAATGATATATGAGTGAACAAGATAGGGAAGTAGCATTAATTACTAACTTGGCTTTTATCACCCGTATCACCACTTTGGTGAAACCGAATCAAAAAGTTTCATGCATGAAGAACAAAAAAACTGACGCTTTCAGCGTAAGAATACAGAACTGCCGACAGGTCACAGCATTAAGGGAAGATCGACATTTGACAATATATGCCCACCTCCCCCACCCCGCTCCTCATCGTCCCTGTTCGTGTAGTTTTGGAAAGCGATGCTTTAATTTTTTTTTCTTGAAAAAACTTCATCAACTCCTTTCTTGGGAGACCTATTCGAAAGTAATGTCAATATTAACGTATGAGCATCGTATTTACATCCTAGTTTGATCATGAGACAAAGTCAGTTACTCTCTCCTGATCCGGGATCCTTCTTATGGTCTCTGATTATGGCGATGAATTTGCAGCATGGGGGTGACTGTTAGTGCTTGTAGAGCGTTGGCCTTTCTTGATATCTGAAGCCGGATATGAAGCTTGTTCCTGAGGGCTTGAATCATCTCTGTGGGTTTGATTATTGTTTGCTTCGGTAACGCTTTCAGTCTGAAAAGCCACTGAACTCTGACCAAATGTGCTTTGAAAACTAGATGACCATAAGTTAACTACAGCGTTCCCGATATTGCTTTGGAAATGTCCGGACTTCCAAGGAAGAACACTTAAAATTTTGTTTCTGAAATCGCGGTTGGTGCTGGAATATATAACTGGATTTAGCGCCGAATTACCATAATGCAAGAATTTAATCAGTAATGTCACTATTGGTTTAATTTGAACACCTGGAGAGAATGGCACGATAATATTGATAACGAAGAAGGGCGTCCAGCAAGCAATGAAAGCGCCCATCACCAAAGCAAGCGTCTTGGCTGCTTTTATCTCCCGCTTGAAGTAAAACGCTTGTCGTATCGGTTGAACACGGCGCACCTGACGTAATGCTGCGTGAAATATTCGTGAATATGAGAAAATCATCACTGATAAAGGGAGGAGAAAGGAGACCACAAAAACCAACACAGGATAATAACGTCCTCCTTCTAGGTTAATGGTGGCGATGATCACAGAGTATGACCAGAGGCAAACCAAAACAACGATCGCGCGATTTTTCGTTATAATCTGAGAGTAGCGTAGTGGTGAAGTTATGGCTACGTAGCGATCAAAACTGATGGCGCAGAGATTCATGATAGAAGCAGTGGAGAATAGAATGTCAAGACATCGCCACAATGTTAAGAGCACACTTGGACAAGTGATCGTATTGTTGATGCAATCCGTGTTTTGAATAATCAACCAGACAGGAATAGAAACAGAAGCTACGAGAATATCGGTGACAGCTAACGACACGATGAAGACATTTGTGACGCATCTTAGGTTTGTTGAGCGGTAAAAAGCGAAGCAAACTAGTGTGTTTCCCAACAGCGCCAGTACTATCACAAGAACCAAGGCTACGGTCGATGCGATGACATCTGTATTGCTGAACTGTACTGGTATGGGTTTCTGAGTAGAGTTCGCAGCCCTTGCATCCTTAAAAACACAAAACAACAAAATCAATGTTGACAGGAAGCTGTGTAGTCGATATAACCTGGCCATGAGGAGTTCAGTTCTTGCCGTTTCAGTAGTCCAGCTGTTTTAAGTAACTGATACACAGCGTTTCAACCTATTTCTTTCAACAGACTGAAAGTCTTTTTTTCGGGCGTGCAGCGGATGATACTGTCCGTGGTAGATGCTGCTTTTCGCTTGCTGCACGCGCTTCTAAGACTTTTGCAGAATCTCCCCTTCAGTAACAGTTATTTTCAAAGTCAAATCAAATCTAAGGCGTGATTCTGAAGAAAAATTTCGGTGGGGTTGACCACGTTTCAATCAGTCCTCAAAGTTAAGGCGTGATGTCACTAACAAGAATTTCCCCGCAAATATTAATCGTAAAAGCGACTGCACAAGTAAAGAAAACGAGTGTGTTGCAAAAAAATCACTCCAGCGGAACCTTACAGCCAGAGCTCATACCATTTGCTTCGTGCAGACAATAGAGTAAACTGGTTGAATTGATTTTTTTCATACTGCATCTTGTTTTCAATACGAATACTGGCAAACCTATCTTCTTTAAATATGAATAGAAGTTTCTATCAATTTGTTGATTTTTGTAACTTTTTGTTTGCTCAAGGGCTTTTCCAAGCAATTTAAAATTCACGTAATTGGACATATATTGGAGTAGAATTTGGAAAATACAGGAATTATTAAAAGAAGCGCTGAAAGCTGAGTTCACAAAGGTAAATGAATGAAAAAAAAAAAATGAAATCAAAAAGGCATCTTGTTTTAAGCAATCAATTGAAACTTGTTTTTCAGACATAAAAAAGTGCTGATTTAAACTTCAAAAAGTATTATCACATTTATGGTTTGTAGTTTCATAAATTGGATTATCTAGATTTCAGACCCTGATGATAAATCATTTAATTTTCTGTTATTATACAAATTTTGTTATTACTTTTTCGCGAGAACTTCGTTGCCATGACACTGGCCTGCGAAAGGAAAAGTTGAGCAGATAAAAAATATTTTCAATATTACATTCTAGCCTCTAAAATGCTGACTCGAAACTCTCCTATAATCGATCAAGGCAGCTGTTTTAAGTTAAAAAGCTTTTTTGCTCAGAGATTGATTTCACTAGAAACAATTGCGATGAAGACGACGTTTTCAATATTAGGAATTTAATCCTATTATCATAGTGGTTTGCCCAGAGCTGCGTTGAAGAGGGAAATGATAAAAGCTGACAGTTTCTCACTGATATAAATTAATTATTTACTCTGTACAGGAAAAGCTTTCTCCGTCAGGATATAGAATAGATGTGTGAAATGCAATTTGGTCAAGCCTTTTCAAACAGTTTGACAGTCGTCAGGATTATGGTGCATGTCGCCTAGATACAAGTGCTAGCATGGCTGGGCTGCTCGGATATATCTGTTGTGTTTAAGTTTTATCCTTGGTTTAAATTTTATTCTCCTTTGTTTCAAACTCATTAACATGCATTATTACCATTTACCATTTCTCATTATCATACCCCGAAACAAAGGAAAATAAATTTTAAACCAAGGATAAAATTGAACCACAACATATCCAAGGATTCCCAAGAGCGGACGAACTTTGCCGAAGATGTCCGGTGTTTTCCGATAGGTTGTAAATTAGCTGAAGTCTCTCTTGCCTTTAACACGCATAACAGTCATAACATATATACATATACATTCCTGGGTCATCTTAAGTACCTGTTAGGCCATACTGCAGAGAGCAACAAAATGCTTCCTTGGCAGCCTTGGCGGCTCTTTCTCTCTCAAAAATAAGAGAAAAACCTTGGCCTGACCTTTGATGGCTATTTTGAATGGGCCCCTATGAATAAAGTTAGTATATGCTCCTCGGAGATTTCCCCACCACGGTCACTCCTTCCAAGTTGTATGCTCATTTGAAATTTAATATTAATTAACCTATTTTTTTCCATTCTACTTCTAATTTATTCTGTGTGGCAAAATAATAAAATAGATAAAATAAATACGTCCTTCTGCAAGTGTATTTCATAAATCAACACGGACTGTGTAATCTACTGACTGTTAGGGAAAAAAAAAGGAAAAAGAAAATATGTGTCGCCCAACGTGGGGCTCGAACCCACGACCCTGAGATTAAGAGTCTCATGCTCTACCGACTGAGCTAGCCGGGCTGACTTATCAATGCTGGGGATTTTTTAAATATAAATATGAAAAGCCTGGCAAACACCCTCACTGCTCATGCGTAATTACCCATAAAACATCTCGGGAGGCATGCGGCCTGCTCCGATCCATCATGTAATGGCGGCGAAGCAGTCAGATACTTCGGACAAAACCCTTCCGTGGGGCTTGTCCCCAGAAGCGTTAGCTCCAGGATCAATGAAAGTAAGCCGAAATTGATATTCATAGTTCTTCCTCTGGCATCCATCCTCGAAATTTTTCATGTTTGACGTGTTCAAATTTAATGTTTGCGAGATGTGATCTCGTCCGAGTGGTATGTTTCTAAAATACAGTTTATCTCTGCAGACAATTTCGCAAAGCAAACTGAAGTCCTTTTCTGTTGGTATGATGAATGCTGGCTTGAAGAAACCTTCGAAATCAAAGCAAGATGTTGAAGAGAAGAAAAAGGTTCGAGTTTAAGTATATCTAAGTTTTTGGTATTTACTGTTTTGTAATTGGCGCTCCTCATATCATGATCTTAGCATCAGGCTGAGCTTGTATGGTTTTCCGAAACTGAAACACGAAACGATCATTCATTTGATTGAATGGTTAATGAGCAGCTCGAGATTATTTATGTAACCTTTCCTCGGTTTGACACTTTCTCAAAGTAGGTCATATTATTATTCGTTCCCCCTTATGGAACGCTTGATTCCGATAGTCTGTTTTATTCTAGTGAAAATCTTCCACTAGAGGCGGCATTCCGAAAGGGCGATCTTAAGGCAAAACACCCGATTCCTTATACCTTAAGTGTAGAAATTGTGATTCCAACATCTTCCATTTGAGAAGAACTCATCAGATACATGTAGCATTCTGACCAGTACAAATTGGTTAAAAGTGAGATTTCCAGTACCGTGTAAATGATCTACTAGGGTTTCTGATGCCAGTTATAATTAAGGGTCCAAATTCAAAATTCTAACAGAGGCTGTTCAGCATGGTTCTCCAAAAAAATTAACGTAGACAGAGAAAGGTTGAAAGCTGTAGTGTGTTGCGATTGGGTAGTGCAGGGCCCCCCTTAGGTCAAGTCTATTTCAGTGCCTTTTGAGTGACCATGGATAGAATTTTAGCCATGAGGATGGTACCTATTAATTTATTTACCCATATTTGCTGTAGTTTACAGCATCGGTTTATTTTTATTTAACAGGTTATGAGAAACAAATACAACAGATTTATTATCCCAATAAAATGTAATTTAATGTGAGTAACAGGTGCTTTGGTGATGACAAGGTGGGGAATTTTCACAGGTCACTTGAGCGTTCAGGGATTCCTGCTGTTCAAATTGGGTTGTAATAAGTGTTGATTGTTATTGTGGGCTCGGATAGTGGGAAAAGACTGGCAACTTACTTGTCAGAGTACTTTACCTCTATACGTTGGCTGCTAGTATTGTAATTTCAAAGGTGACCATTATGAGGAGGTTTGACTGTTTTGCAACAGATAGGCTTTCAGTGTGATAATAAAACTGTCCATTTATCTGTACAGTTTTCAGGTCTTTGTTAGGAAACTCAATGTGTGTATTATTACTGTCTCTGACTTGAATCATTGGTAGATACATGTGCGAGGGCTAATCTTGCCTTTTGCATGGTTGATGAAAGTGTTTGCCCACAGTAATTTCTCTGGATTCATTGAATAATACTAACCAAATGTTTGTTCATGCTCTATGTACTTTTTTGTGACCATTTTCAGATAAGATTTATGTTTTTGTCCTTATTGTTTTCTCAGAAAGAGGCCGTGGAATGCGCTGAAGTATTTGCAGATTTCGTGGCTTCCTTTGAAGACTCGAGGGCTGCTGGAAAAACATTTGTGCGTGGTAATACAATCAATCCTGAAACCAAAGGTGTGTTTTATAGTATTGCTTTTTAGTCTCCTAGTTATTGAAAGTAATCAAATATGACTTCATGTAGTAGAAATGCTTGTGCCCCTAGCACACAGAATCCAAAATGCATGCACTCACCTATTGGTGGTTAGTTACAATCAGTGATCAGTGGAGAACTTTGTGATGTTGCTGATGTCACATTTCAGTGTAGTTGAAGAGCATGAGTACTCTTAATATTTGTTTCTGTTCTGAAGCTCCTTTATTTCATTGGGTTTTAAAATTTAAAATAAAATTTTTACTTTTTTCACAGAGGAAACTGCTTCATTAAAGGCAGGAGCATTGTACAAACCCATGGCAAAGGTGACTGCAGCTGTCATGGAAGAGAAAATCAAAACTGAATTTTCCCAACCAAAGCTGGTAGGTGAAACCAGGGTTCGAAATTTAATTTCATATCCAGTCGCCCCAAGACTTGGTTTGGTTGCCCATGGAATATTGTGGTTGTCCGAGTCAACCGCTTAGCCCAGCTTAATCCAAGAAAGTAAAACTCTGAGGTAGCTCAAGTTATTAACAGTTTTTCACAATAAAATGTCCCTCTTTTGTTTCATGTGTTTTTTTATCCCTCAAGGTGAAAACTGCTGTTGCCTGTCTGGCTTCCAAATGTGGATTTATTTTTGAAAACTGTCTGTGATAACTACAAGACAACGTTTTCTTTTGCAACAAATTGCAGTCCCACTTGCGCAGTCCTCGCTTGGAAAGAATCATGCGAAAAGGGCATGACATGTGACGGAGACTCCCTTGCGCCCATTACTTTTTTGCTCTCTCTACAATGGAGTCCTCCATGACTCTTTAAATGTCTCATAACAAACACTCTTTTTGAGCTTTCTAAAGATTGAACCTCTACTCTGCAGTAGCTTCCAAATTGCACTAGTGAGGGAGGCTCATACATTTTCTATTTTACAACTGCACAAAGAATCAATGGGTAATAAAAGACAGGGAAGAAGCATGGCTATGACGTGGAGCACATCTCACTGCAGTGCATCATGGGCTACATTTGCATACATAAACTGCTGGTTAAAGCATCACAGGCTCGTTCAGGCCAAACGTTGAGTTTGGAGTCTACTTTTTTCTGTGTTTGCTTTACTTTCAACTAACTTAAAGGTCTCATGAACCCTTGCAAGGCAAAAACCTGCGATATTTGTTTGGAGACTAATACCTCAGCAGATTGAGTTTTTTGTGGGGCAACTACTCAGCACAAATTAGTTGCCCCATTGACAATTTTGGTTGTCCAGGACAATTGGACAGCCGTTAATTTCGAACCCTGTGAAACAGGTTTTTTAAAAAGGAAGACACAGTTTAACAATGTCCACAGATTTAAGTTTTACTTTAAATTGTGTGCACTATAAAGTGATATTGAAACCAATTCATTGAATGTCTTTCAGGAAGTTAAGAAGAAAACCAAAGAAAAAGAGAAGAAGAAGAGTAATTTGGAACTATTTAAAGAAGAATTAAAAAGGTGGTTTGTCTTGTTTCTTTCTCTGAGATTTCTTTTTGGATAGCTCTCTGTGGATCTTTTACAGTGTTAACACATTTTTAGTTTGACATTTTATGTTGTTATTTTTAGACATCAGATGGAAAGAGAGATAAGACACAAGATTAAAAAGGGTGATATAGCTGATATTCCAAGAGATGTACTTGATAAAATGGCACCCTCACTCCTAGTGGCACCAAAAGGTACATTCTTCTATTGCTGTGACTTTTTTCAGAATTAAAAGTTCAAAATGTTAATTGTTATTATTTATATTATCATTTTTAAACCTATAAACCCTTCTTCATGTTTATGTCAGACATGCTCATGCATCCTTGAAAAGCAGCTTAGTTAGGCATAATAGATCTTTGTTTTCTTTTTAATGTTGTATGCTGGACTAATTTTTACCTTGTTTAAGAAACGTTTTTTATTTTTCTATCAACACGTGTATGCCCATTTCACCATCAAATGAACAAAATTGTTTGCATTTGCAGCTTTTGTGCTTTGGCACTCTTTTCAACTTCATTGCACTGGGAATTCCAAAGCAATGCTTGATGTTGAAATTGAGTGCTTTGACATAAACGTAGGAAAGGGATATTTATTTTGATTTTATATTTTATCATTATTAGTTTATTCTCCTCCTGCTGTGTTGAATAGGTTTTATCTCCCCACAGTTTAATTTAAGTTGTTTTGGTTTTCCCTCCCACCAGTGGTCGTCGATATAATCATTCATTTCATCATTGGCTTTTGCATTTTTAACCCTGTTAACTATGAAGTGTGAAAATAAATTATTTATTACTTATATTTTTTAGAGGAAACTTTTTCATATGGATCACATGACACAGGTGATCCTTCAACAACAAACTTGTACATTGGAAACATCAACCCAGCAGTAAGGAAATACTTTTTTCATCAGCATTGAAATTATTTTTATATTTACAAACTCTTCATTTTTGTTACTTTATTAAGAAGAGCTGTTCCTTATGTCAACATTGCTTCCCTGTAACTTGTGTTAATTGCAGTGATATTGCAAGGGAAACCGCAATAATGATTATTAGTAAAATCCAACTAGTGGTCTATTATCAATGCTGCATTATGATTGGTTGAGCTACTACTAGGCTATATGTTATAGCCCACTAGTAGCGAAAAGCACCGGCTTTGAAAACCAAAACAATGGCGGCTGAATCGTGTTTTGCTAGCTAAGGTTGTTTTGTCTCGATATTTTTGACCAACTAGTTGGATTTTACTAAAACAATATTCCTCTCGCCCTCATGGCCTCTGAGTCAATAGCCCATTCGGCCTTCGGCCTCATGGGCTATTGACTTAGAGCCCATTCGGGCTCGAGGAATAATTGTTAAGTATACTGCAGGGTGCGAAGAAAGTCAGTTTTACAGCTTGGCCATAGCAAGCACATACTAGCCCGAGAGTCATTTTAACTAGCCGGATAAATAATTAATGATTAGTCATTAATTAATTATTAATTACTTCCTTAATCATAATTATAACAAAAGTGTCAAATCTGATTGGCTATCAACTGCCCTGATTTCAGCCTTAATTGGACAGTTTAATTGGACAGTTCGGCGCGTCGGACTCGCAATCCGGCGGTCCCAGGTTCGAGTCCCGCTCCAGCCAGTTGCTGGATTTGTTCTTGGTCGTCCCGAGTTCATATCCTTGGCCACGCTTGTAAATAACCAACTGGTTGCCTCCTGCCAGTTGGGGTTTTAAATCCTGTTATGTTGTGTTTGAATTATTTGTTTTCTAAGTATTTACTGATTGTAAAGTGCTTTGCATCACTAAGAGAAAGGCGCTATATAAATTTTTAAATTAAATTAAATTATTATCACAAATTTTGTTAAAGTTATGATTAATTGGTAACAGAACTTTGTGTCGTCCAAATATTCAGTCTGTAATCATACTCATGATTAAACTCCCGCTACGGGGTCATCCGATTTTGTTATTCACTCGTATGATTACAGACCAAATTGGACTCCACTCAGTCCTGTTACCATTACTTATCAATTCATTCAAAAAATAACTGTAATAATTTCTCTTTGTCAAATCAGCTTGAAAAACAGATTTCGATCCGCCACAGAATTTACTAGCCTGATCGCAAAATCCACGAGTCCCGGGCTATTCTTTGCAAGCTATTACTGGTTTTACATGTTTCTGCATGTCTAGTTTAGAGGGCCTGAAATTCTCACTTGCCATTACTTCAACTATCTGTTGTTTTTTGTTAGATGACAGAGGAGATGTTGATGAGGCTTTTTGGCAAGTATGGTCCTCTAGCGAGTGTGAAAATCATGTGGCCCAGAACAGACGAAGAGAAAGCTCGTAACAGAAACTGTGGCTTTGTTGCATACATGAGAAGAAAGGATGGTGAAAAAGCTTTGACGGCATTGAAAGGTGGGAATATACATGATGTACTTAACTGTAGAGCCCAGGGTAGGATAAGGATGTATTGCACAGACAAGGCTGTTCTCTAGCAGTGCCTGGTGGCCCAAGGTGCCTAACGTTTGTCCATGGGGGGCTAAAAGATCTTGTTTTTTCTCTTAGAAATCATATGCTGGGCACTGTGGATATTACAAGCTCAGAGCACTGGGCTCCCTTCAATGTATTCAATTTCTTTTCTTTGTTGTTGTTTGTGTTTGAAGGCAAAGAAGTCATGTCTTATGAGATGAAGCTTGGATGGGGTAAAAGTGTCCCCATACCACCGCATCCTATCTATATTCCCCCTGAAATGCAAGAAGACACCACACCACCTCCCCCGTCAGGCTTGCCATTCAATGCTCAACCAGATAAAAAGAAAGACAACTATTCCAGTGCCCCTCCCCCTCAGGGAGGGGGTGAAGAACAGACACGTGATCTTGATACCAATGGATTCAACAAGGAGGTGAGATATGGAAGATTGATGCCCACAATATTTTAGACCCATAGTTTAATTTTTGCAGTTTCATTCCTCTCTAATTCTACAGTAAGTTTTAAAAGAGTTGTGTGGGGTAGTGTTTAGATTTAAAATAGTATGTGAATAATGGGGTAGTATGTTCCATTTAAAATACAGTGAGATTTGTTTGTTTCAAATTATTTTTGTATCATTGTTTTGTTGTAAAGTGAGATCTTCCTGATAGGTTTGTCTCATGTGAAGCTCTAAATGTTATTTATGTGTACATGTATGTTTAAGACTCTTTTTGCTCTCAGTCATTAACAAAAATTAATTTAAAAAATTAATTAGATATGTCGGCTGTGGTCTAAGATTTTTTGAGACTTGACCTCTTGATACAAAAGTGTAGTTTCATTGGTGTGGTGTTGGTCTAATAAGAGCAACATTCATGCAGCAAGTAAGAGTGGCCTAAACAATTATCCAAGACATCTCATAAGGATAAAAGAAAATTAAAGGATAACTAATTTACTTAAAAATAATGATGTAGTTCATTGTAGTAAGAAGTAAACATTTTCACTCTTTGTCTTCCAACACCATGACACAATCCAGCATAATGCAGTGTAATACTGTACTTTTATGTGTAATGGTAATTACATCTTATAAGTTATTTTTCTTAATACTCACGAAGTCTTTGGCAATTGCCTCTTAGACGTTAGCCAATGCGGTCGTGAAAGTTGTAATCCCGACGGAAAGGTACCTTTTTAATGCAAACTGACTGTACGTTGTTGTTATATTCCCTTGTGGAATACATTGGCTGGTATGTTTTCAAAAAGATGTCTTTATGCTGAACTTCAACATTATTTACAACTGATAATAGTGTCTCCTCAAATTTTTGTGTATTTACATTTTTACCTTTTTCTTTTAAATGTTATTTGTTCTTCACAGTGTAGTTTTATTTCTGTTTAGAAGGGTGGAAGTAATGTAGATCTTTTGGAGTATTCTCGACAATAATCCCTTGTTGCAGTTTCGATAGCATTAATTACATTAACCAGTGTAGTGTTACCGCTCTCAAGCTCCTGTGCTATTTATGAAATTCAATATGAAGTACTGTATTTGGTTTTTTTGGCTTGGACGAAGTTGTCAACATTAATTTGAGTTAGTTTCAAATTAATGTGAGAAACTACATCTCACCTTTAAAGTGTAAAGGTACATGTACTTAGACCTAAGTTCACATTGTGCTTTATGACAAAATTCAGTTTGCATGGTACTAAAAATCTGTTCTAAGCCTGAGCAGTCTACTAAGCCTGATTAACGAGTTTTTAACTCTTCTGTGGTGAGTTTCATGATAGCTAACTTTGCCTATTATTTGTTGTCGTGGTAACCATGTAATTCCTACAGGAATCTTCTGTGTCTTGTTCATCGCATGGTGGAGTTTGTGGTGCGTGAAGGACCCATGTTTGAGGCAATGATCATGAACAAGGAATTAAACAACCCTATGTACAGGTGGGTACACTTCTCTAACTTGAAATGCCTGCAACAAAAACAAATGGCAGTTTGAGTGAGAAAATTGTCTACAGCTTAGAAGAGTTATTGAGGGAGTTTAAGATATCAAGACAGTGACAGTGACAAAAATGTCACTCAAAACAGTCAGTACTTATTCTTTTAAACTTCATTGCGATTATGCCAACTTGCTCACTTTTTCACTTTTTCCTGGAGTTGACTCCTTAGGACACGCTTTAAGCACAGAGAGAACGAAGAAACATTTGTTGTCATTTGTTTATATACCCCACAAAACCTGAAATTAGACAGTTACACATTGTAGTCCCAAAAAATGTGATACAAGTGCAGATTTGTTGCTTTCTTGTTGCCTATGCCAGCATGACATCTTAAACTCCCTGTTGTTAAGTCTGTGTGACACCATTTGCAGATTGAGTCTACAGCTGTAGAAGTAAACATGTGTACGTAACATTCTTATTCTAGTAACTATATAAACTTTATTTGGTTTGATAAATCAACAGGTTCTTGTTTGACAACCAGAGTCCAGAACACATTTATTATAGGTGGAAGCTGTTTTCTATTCTCCAGGTTTGTTTTTCAGCTTATGGCTCTTTCTTTTGTGTTTTCACCACTTGTATATTGGTGAAAATTAAGAAGAGCTGATACAGTTATTTTATTTCTTCTCTAAAGGGCGATTCCCCGACAAAATGGCGAACAGAGAAATTCAAGATGTTTGAAGGTGGTTCAGTGTGGAAACCTCCCCAGTGTCATCAGTACACCATGAGTGCTGCAGCTTTTAATGCCAATAAACAACCAGTACCTCAAGTAGAAACCCCAGTACCACCTCCACAGGCTGCTCCAGCACCTTCTACACAGAGCGTCAGTAGCAGTTACAGCAGCAGTTCTCGGTCAACATCAGCAGCCACAAGCAGTAGAAAGAATACCTTATCCAATAGGTAAGAAATGTTAGATTTCAGAGTTAATTCCCTTTTAGCTTTTTTCAATATTTTTACATGTTTAAGGGGTGTATTCTTTTACCTTGGAAATATTGATGAATTCTTCAGAATGTCTCTTAGAAATTAAATGACCTCAGTTTAAAATGTATATCGTTTTACATATCTGTATTATGTGTTCTTATTAATATTTATCATTGTAGACAACGTGACAACCTGGAGGACATGTTGCGGGATTTGACTCCAGAGAGAATTAAGATTGCCAAGTGCATGGTGTTCTGTGTCAAAAATGCTGACTGTGCTGAGGAGGTATGTACTCAATCAATCTCCATAGCATGCATTTGAATGACCACTGTGGAAGATTTAATCCACTGACTGAAAGTGAAATTTTTAAAAGCCAAACTTTTGTACTTATCATGATTTAATAATACGTATAAAGGGTTCACAGCATTCAAATTTTTCACCTTTGAGCTGCAACTCGTCTGTATGCAATTTAGCTAAAATAAAGCCTTTTTGTTCTCTGTTGTAGTTCTCATTTATTGTACATATTAATTTGTTACAATTGTCTTTGTTATAAATAAATTATGCTTAATATTACAGGTTGTTGAATGCATAGCAGAGTCATTGTCAATTCTGGAAACACCCTTGCAGGTCAAGGTGAGTTTCAACAGTACAGTTTCAACTCCCTTGGCAGTACATTGATGTGGCTTGACACAATTGAGTTTTGTGTGAAAATCCCACAAGTTCAGTTTTTAAATCTGTCAGTTACAATGTAGTTTGCGCATGGTGATTGGTCAATTTTGCATGCTGTATTCTGCTGTGCAGCCCACTAAATTTGAAAGTTTCCTTTCCTGTGTGCCCAGATAAGGTCAGAGTGTATAAATATTTTCCTCAGTGGGCTTGCTTAAGTTCAAGACTTTGTTAATGTTGTTGTTTTACATGTAATGTCATGTAGGTTGCACGTTTGTACTTGGTATCAGACATTCTTCACAACTGTTCTGTTAAAGTACCCAATGTGTCATACTACAGGAAGGGGTACGTATTTTCTTTGTTGCCTTTTGTTTTTGTTGCTGTTGCATGGTCATAAAGTGTTATCAGTTTGTTACTGGCTCCCCAGGTCCACCATTGGCCATTGTTGAAATGTGAACTCTTAGAAAAAAAGTTAATAACTTGAATAAGTGAATTTTGTGGCTACCTGTATGTTATAAAGATTAATCTTTTTAAAGCTGATCTTTCATCTATTTTTTGGCAGATTTCAGAGTTTTCTTCCTGAGATATTTGGTAACTTAGGCACATCATTCAAGGCCATTAATGCTCGCATGAAAGCAGAGAACTTTAGAGTAAGTCCTTGATTTAAAACAGAGATAAGTAGTTATTACTAAAAATAATATAATGCTTTTCTTACTGGGTGACAAAGATGTTTACATTTCCTGTTTATTTATGATTGTATGTTTTGCAGAAACAAGTTCTTCGCTGTCTTGCAGCCTGGATGGACTGGGCTGTATACACTCCAGATTTCTTGTTTAATCTTGAAAATATATTTCTGGGCCATACTGAAAAAAACAGCCAATCAGAGGTAAGAATGTTATCAGACCAAGTATTTTGGAAGATTGATCATTCTAAAAAGACAACAAGCAAATAATCTGTAACATGATTTGTCTGCATTTATTTCTTTATCTCATAGTGCTAATATGTGTAATCCATATTATTTTTTCATTCGTTATTTCGTCCTCATATTTCCCTGTATATGACGAGCCGATATTATTTAATGTCCAGCTCCCAGTTTTCTTCCAAGCTCAGTTGGTTAGAGCTGAGCGCTGCACTGGTATTGCAGAGGTCAGGGATCGAATCCCAGGAAACCTAAAAATTTTCAGGCTTTCTTTTGGCAACTGCATAAGTTGTGACGGTACTTAAGTGTGATGATTTCAGCATTTATTTAATGATTTCTGTGTTTGGTTTCATTCTATTTAGGCATCAGATCAACCTCTTAAACCTCTTTATCCACTTGATGAAAGCTTAGGGCGAAACAAAGTGGATATAGATGGAGTACCTTTAGATGTTGATGGAGTACCATTGAAAGCGCCAGATTTTGATGGTGTGCCTATAAAATCAATGGATGTGGATGGTATCCCCTTAAAAGCTGCTGATATTGATGGTGTGCCACTCTCTGGCAGCAGTAATATTGATGGAGTGCCAAGTGAGTAGCGACCGAGGAGTTGTCTGGACTTTATTGCTGTAAAGTGCATTATCATTTGGCTAATGGTAGACAGGTACTTGGGATGTAAATTGCAAAGAGTCTACTGCTTT